CGATTATTCCCTAGGTAGTCGATACTTTAAATTAGTCGATAGTGCCCATCACTATCGTCGCCGCGTTGCACGCGGTTGCAAGTTGCAAGTTTGACAGTACATGGCGTAAAGGGTGGGGGCGACAGTGCGCAGCCATATTGGCTACTTGTGACTTTTGGGAGGAAGCAAGTAAAAAATATTATAATTTTCTCGTTTATGCGTGAAAAATGTTACCTCCGAGGATTTTTCATTGATTCTACGAGTTGATCTTGCGTGCACTTTACACGGTTACGATAGAACCTGCGATCATTTTTACAAGCTCAATCTTTTTTACGAAAAATGGTACGTTGACTTTTTTTTCATCAATCTAACATTTCTCGTGTTTAAAGTTAATACCGTACACGTAGAACGTACAATTCTATTTCGATCGGTTCAATCTCTAACGTTTTGTTCTCGCCGTAGAGTTTCTTCGGGTTCGGTCAATCGGCCGACATAGAGATTACATTAGATGGGGCAGAGACCAGGAAGACCGCGGACATTAAAACTGAGGATGGTAAAAAAGAGCGCCATTTATTATACTACGATGGTGAAACGGTGTCTGGGAAGGTAAATATTGCCTTTTAAACACGTAATCTTTGATGCTAAAGTACAGGTAACATGATCATGAAATGTACTTTATAACCTGTGATCGCTCTTCTGAACTTCGAATAAACCCCCTTCAAATGTACAATAATGATTATCTAATCGTTCGATTTGATTATCCGAACTAATTACTCTGATCCTGTTCCTATGCAAGCAGATAAATATCCTTAGAAGTCGAAACAGACTGTGCACGTATAAGATATCATTTAATATGTTCTATACAAATACAACTTATCTTGTTTAATTTGATAAAGGAATCAAAGAAATACAACAGAATTTGCCTGCAATTTTCGGTTGTACTTTGGTACTTTGGTCAAAATTTACATGGAACAATTAAGAAATTAGATATTAATCGATACATCGATGTTTACAGATTAACATTAGCTTGAGGAAAGCTGGAAAATTGGAGCATCAGGGTGTAAAAGTAGAATTTATTGGGCAAATAGAATTGTATTATGACAGAGGAAATCATCACGAATTTGCAAGTCTAGTTAAGGAATTGGCCAGGCCAGGAGAATTAACTCACAACACTGTGTATACATTCGAATTTCCCAATGTAGAAAAGCCTTTTGAAAGTTATACAGGCTCGAACGTACGGCTAAGATATTTTCTCAAAGTGACGATCGTTCGGAGACTCAGCGATATCGTTAAAGAGCTCGAACTGGTCGTGCATACTCTTAGTTCCTACCCAGATATGAACAATCCTATTAAAATGGAAGTTGGTATCGAAGACTGTTTACACATTGAATTCGAATACAATAAGAGCAAGTAAGCTAGTTGTCCGTACTGCTAATTTCTTCTCTTCTTTTATACTTCCAGCGTGAAATTCACGTTTGTATTCTTTCAGATATCATTTAAAAGACGTAATCGTTGGAAAAATATATTTTCTTTTGGTCCGAATAAAGATTAAACACATGGAGATTGCCATAATAAAGCGGGAAACAACAGGTTCTGGTACTGTATAATTGGAAAATAGATTTTTCCGTTAAAAAAAAATTATTTTCAGTATTTTTATTATTATCATTCTTTTATGAAACATTTAATAACGTACCTATTGGAAGAGATATTTTAGTTTATTAACCATTTGATTGCTCCAACTTATCGTACTACAGTTATAAATAGAATACGTGTTTGCAGGTCCGCACACGTTTACGGAAAATGAAACTATAGCCAAATACGAAATAATGGATGGGGCACCGGTGCGAGGCGAATCCATTCCGATAAGAGTATTCCTAGCTGGATACGATTTAGCTCCAACGATGCGCGATATTAACAAGAAGTTCAGCGTTCGATATTATTTGAATTTGGTCCTCATGGACGAGGAAGATCGAAGATATTTTAAACAGCAAGTAAGTGATCGAACAGATGCCCATACGTACGTGTTGCTTTCGCGGAAACTCATTCTTCTTTTTGTTTAGGAGATAACGTTATGGAGGAAAGGCGAGAAGAGTAGAAAATCTCAAACTGCATCGCCACACATGCCGTCGCATTTGGTGTCTGCGGAAACGGGTTTTCCACAGGGAGTTGCTCAAAATGGCCCACCATCTGTACCGGCAGCGATCCAACCGGGACAACTGGCACCCGCTAATGTCACCGGTGTGGAAGATGCGCAAGCACCGATCGAGAGTATGACGCGCGAAGAAGGAGACGGTGAAGGTGCGAAAGAAGTTAATCCCGAGAGTAACTGAATCTTTCTATCTGTACTCGATCCAGTCGGAACGGAAGTCAATGGTAGTTTTATCAATTCGAAGGAACGAGTCAGAACTCGAAGAAATCCGATCGCGCTAGAAACTGAACGAGTAGTTTTGTGAAAGGAACTCTCTTCCATCGTAAGAAGAGAAAATGAGAGCGAATTTAAAGGAAATGAAACGCGAAACCCGATACATCCGCGAGCGAAGTTGTAAATATTTTTGGATACCTATAAATAATGCGAACGATTAAATTGTATAAGTAGCCAATTATCGATCAAAATTTCAACTAATCGAGCTCCATAGATAGTATTGTATTACGGTGTCCAACGAGACGCGCCGAACATTTTAATCGAATTGTAATGATTAAATGAAAAATAATACGAGGAAGAATATAATGTGATCCCGTATAAAATGAACATAATTCGTAAATGGACGATTAACAATTGAATATCGATTCAGTGATATTCAGCGATTCTTGAAGAATGGTATCTGAATGTTACGGTGTTCAGAACGTTTTGTACAAACTTATTCTTCGTTATATTTTCAAAGATCTTTATTATCGAGAAAAAACAACAAGAAAGGCGGAAACCTCTTGCGTTACATTACCGGATCTCTCGAGCGGCCAGTTTCTGGTGCACCGAGAGTCTCACGAATCTGAAATTAATATACGTATACTCATAATGGCTGCCCTATTTTAATCCATTCACCTAGTCTACGACTAATATGATAAAGGCACTCGATGGGACGCTTTTACATATACGACGCGTACACGTATAGGTATTGATTACCCAAAAGTGTGCTCTTTTCAATAACAAAGTTTTTATTAACATTTGCAATAAATACGATACGTTAAGATGCAAAGTGCACGGCATACGACATAGTGTTATATAATAGTTCTGTTCTATAACATAGCATAACTGTATATACGTACGTATAACGGACACGCTAAATTGTACATGCCAATTAATTTTTTAATAGATTTTTATGCAAACTCTTAAGAATAATGATGTACAAGTCATTGTAAGAAATATTGTATATTTTAGTATGCCCCCGTTTCAATTTTTAGCATGCCTTTATTTATATGAGAGTGGACTATGATAGATTAAAAGACGGGTTTGCTCCACACTCCACATGTATTTATATATATACATATATGTACGTATGTATATATATATTTATATACACACATTACGTATGCGTGTGTGCGGTGTGTACCGTACCGTGTACTACCGTGTATCCGAATAGTTTAGTTGGAATTACACGCACGTACGCACCTCACGAGCATACGCATCTACAGTAATAATATTGAAACGGTATTGTTCTATCCAGGTAGTAGATTGAACGATTACTACCACGATAGAAGCAATGCGCTGATGCGACAGCAAAATATATTGTATGTATCTATATACTTATCGTTTTGTACAATTCTATGTTAACATCGGTTGACTAACAGTCTTGTTAAAAAGGAATAAGCCACCTAACATACGGTCAACTGCGTGTAAGTCGAGAGTTTTGTTTCGTGTAAATGAAAATTTTCATACTTCACGCCTTTGTTATTTGTTGACAAGAAAGATATATGTATGTGTAAAAGAGAGAAAGAAAAAACCTATTTGTGAATTATTTGACATGTCAAATATTGTATATATACATATACATATTGTCATACGATATAAAAATTAAATACCTACAACGGTTTTATACTTTAATCTCCACGCAAAATGTCTTTGCGCGCGGCTTGCGCGAACATCAGAAAATGAAAGTAGGCGTTCTTTTATACGATTTATAGATAGAACTGGATAGCCCATCTATACATATATACAAAACGGAAAGTCAATAAAGCTGCACATTCAACATTACGGATCGTACATTAAATGATATCGCAAAATTTCATTCTGCGAAACCAAAAGGATAGAGGGCAACGATGTACTATAGATTTTACAAAGAGAAAACAGAAAAATCGCGAGCATCAAGCCATAATAAATGCACTGAAGAGAGATCGGAGAAATTGAGATTACTAAAGATTGGTAGTCTAAAATCTTATAGGACTTCGATCGTGTTGCACGAAAAAATCTGCAATTTTTGACACCCTCTAGAATACATTGCCACCGAAGTAACGTAGTATAGTAATAGCAGTTAATAGTAGTAGTATTTCTTCGATGGTAGTGGTAGCCGGAACGTACGCGCAGACATACGCGGTACTTTTACATTCGAAGTTCCAGTTCGGAAGCGCAGAGCAGTCAATACAATTTCGCGTTCCTATTCCGTATTCGAAGTAATTTTTATGTGGGCATTAACGTAAATTGAAAAGAAAAAATGTCTGAACATGTGGAAGAACTCGTTGAAGAGGAAAATTCAGTTACTATGTTGGATGTACTCCGAGAAGAGAATCAATTGGAAGAAGACGCAAACGCAGTTTTGGGAGCGTCCGACGACAAAAATTGCACTTACTGCAAGGTAGTTGCATATTCCTAAGCGACGTTCGACCGTATCGTCCAGCCAAATATGAAATTCATTTTTTGTTTAGGGTTATACGCGACAAGCCCTTTATGCATGCAGAACTTGTTGCCAAAAGTCTGTGAGAGCAGCGGTTTGCCTGGCTTGTAGCTTTCATTGCCATGAAGGTCATGAACTCATCGAATTATACACCAAAAGGCACTTTAGGTGCGATTGTGGCAATTCGAAATTCGGAGGAAGGAAGTGTAATCTGGTCGCCGTACGTTCATTTCTATTATCATATTTAATTTAACAATAAACATTATATGCCTTTATACTTTGCTTCCTCTTGTTTGCCGCATCATCCGTTTATTCATACAGTCGAAGGACCAGTTAAATTCTGAAAATCAGTATAATCACAATTTCGATGGACTGTATTGCACTTGTGAGAGACCTTATCCGGATCCTGATGATACCGTTAACGATGAGATGCTGCAGTGCATAATCTGCGAAGATTGGTATCACTCAAAGGTACTAATTTTTCGATGTATCGGCTTCCATGTCTTTTAAGTACATTAATAACGAACAATAACCACGTAGCATCTAGAATGTGAAAAGGAAATGCCAGCCGATGGTGCGTACGATGAAATGATTTGTGCTGGCTGCATGAAAAACAACGATTTCCTGTGGAATTATGCCTGTAAATACGCAGGTAATAACCGCCTTGTTTTTTCCTGTTGCAATTACCTATTTTTTGAAATCTGATCCAACGCAGCATTTATTGCATTTCTATAGTAAATATGAGCGACGATAAAGGTGCCAATGATAAGGAGGAAAATAAACCAGTCGACGTTGAAGCTGTCGCCAAGCAGTGTACGATGCCAACGAAGAATAATCTTGGGAAAGAGACTTCATTCCGGGGCAGCTGCTTTTGGACAGAAGGCTGGAGATCCGCGTTATGTACTTGCGATACGTGTAAAGAGGTAGAGGTTCTATTTGTTCGGATAAATAGTTTGTTTTGCGAACGCGGTTTGCAACAAAATTTTTCGATTACAGCTCTATAAAGAGAAGCGAATGATGTTCCTTCTCGATCCGACGGATAGCGTGCACGCTTACGAGGAAGCGGGTAAGGTCAATAGCCGAGAATCGCAGTACGAGAAAGGTATGAAAGCGCTCGCCTCTTTAGGTCGGGTCGAACAGCTAACAGCGATCGAAGGTAACGAAAAAACTTGGTTCGTTGTAAAAATTTATTTGATTCTTCATTTATTTCACGTCTTGGCATATTCGTGTGTTAACAGAATACAATAATATGAAAGAACGATTGATACAGTATCTGCAAAAGTTTGTCGAGAACAAGAAGGTCGTGCGGGAAGAGGATATAAAGGAATTCTTCTCGCAAATGGAATCGAAGAAGCGCCCGAAAGTGGTGGTACCAACGTATTGCCGTTAAAGGGAATCTGTCTTTCCTTTATTAACGGAGACAACAATTTATACATATTACATTGTGAACAACTACGTTTTATTTTTACTTATTTTTTTTATGTGTAATGTATTAAATTCTATATTTTCGATAATTGATTTTAAAGTAGCTTCCGATAAATCGGTGAATGTATGTGTGTACGTATGTGAGAAAGAACAAAATAAAAAAATAATATCGATCATCGGTGTACCGTTTAATTCAAATCTCGTAGTTGTACCTATCGGATGAAAGTTCGATGCGTGAAGAACAGGAAAAGAAGATTGGCGAACAGTTCGTCGCGGAGCGAAAATAGAATAAATGAATTTGAGACTCTATGATCGAAACCGGTAAAATTTAAGATTCGAGACTGGCTGGTGCAGTCAGTTCGTCGTCCAGTTGCAAAGGTATTACCAAAATCGGCTTCATGTCGCTCGGTTTGCCCGTATATATGGACCAAGTCTTCTCGATGCAGTCGAAAATACCTGCGCACATATGTTCGTTGAAATAAACAAGTTGTTCACTGATAGAACGAAGAGCGAACGGAGACCAGAATACCACCTACCAGTGGCTATAGTTTTCACCGGATCGTTTTCGTCTTTTTCCTGATAGACTCTGTAATCTTCGCCCGTTTGATCGCTCAACATGTTTATGACGTCTTGCCGAGATTTAGCAGGGGGATGCTTGCAAATGGCCTCCATCCTTTTCACGCTGCTGTCTATGATTAGGCCTCCTACTTCGGGTATTTTTAATCGAAGGTATCTGAAAAAATGAAACCGAAGTATGGGCGATGAAGCGATCGAACGGTCGATCCCGACCGAAGGGACAAAGCGAAAATACAACAAGGCAAGCGAACCGACTTGTTGCAGTGGACGGTATTCTCCCCTGGGCTGACGGTCAAGATACTCAGCTGTGACTGCATGCCGTTCTCCTCGCAAGGACCGACCTCGGCGTTGTGAAACATTCGATCGCCTTCTTGCGTCAAGAACGTCATGTTCACTGAAAACCCTTCCGCCGCCCCGTATCCATCGTTCCTTAAAATCTGTTGAGCTTCCACGTAGTTTTCCGCGGTCAGCAACGCCCGCGTTATAAAGTATCTAGCTACGCGGTACGAAGAAAGAGAATTAGCAGTGGCGAACGTTGCGTATGTAAAATAAAGAGAGAAAGCGACACTTACGCGTCTTACCGGACCTCAAAGTCGCAGCGCTGAGCGTGTTGATCGTGTAAACGAGACCGTGTCGATTGTAGCCCATCGTGTATCCCGGAAGAAATCCGGCGTAACTGAGCGACGTAAAGATTTCTTCCTTACATCCCGGTTCGACGACGTGTGCGGATACCAAATACCAATGATTCAACGTTTCAGCAAGCGCATCCTCATTATGGCCCAAAATTTGCTGTTTTGTCAATTTGCAAATTTTAAATGTCATTATTCTTCGCCAAAGAAGTAGAACGAACGCGACGCGACCGACGATAGAATCTGATTAGCAATCAGACTTATTCATTCGTTCGAAATTTACCTGATCCGGTTGATTGCACATAATCGTTGAACAACCAACCGGTAACGTGTTCTGCGTTCCTTCATTCATCACGTTCGGCACGATGTCGTCTAGATGTATTAAAAATAACTGAAAAGAAGAAAATCGACGAAAGTAATGGCTCGTTTATCCATGGGGGAAGAGGAAGAAGGCGTCTTATGTAAGTATTCGTATAATACGATATGCGACCATGCAGTACGAGTAGAACGAGCAGAACTGCGATTCTACAGTTACAAGGGGTTTATTGTTTCAAACGCGTTATCTCGTATCGTGCACAGTTTAAATAAAGCGTCTTTAACTGGGATCGATTACAGACTATCCGACGTACCTTATAAAAGGGAACGTTCGCGCCATCGGCCGTCCCACGAATTTCCTTCAAGTAGCCAGGAAATTGCGTCTCGACGCATGCGAGCGTCTCCTCATAGATTTTTTTACCAGTTTGGGTTTCATACAGAGGCAAATAGGTTTCGTTCAACGGTCGGTAGACGTCTAGGAAACTTCGGATCAAACCGGAAAACGTACGCCCCTGAACGGCAACGAAAAAATTAATTTACATTAAAATGTGCTATTATTTGTGTGCGTAAGTATTTGTTACGAATTTTTTATGTCACTCGAATCGTCCACGAAACAACTTTTCCGAGTTTCTCAACGCGAGACAGGATCAAGAGCAGATCCGCATACGTACATACATATACATACGTACACACGTTAATGCTGCGAGATCGCGTTTCGCGATTCGCGCTCGATACCACTCGAGCGTGTTCGTCGTAGAAAAAAACGGTGCATATGAATTATATACATTTGTATACGATAAAATAATCATTAGAACAAAGCTATAAAGTTACATAAACGTTATGTAATTGTCGTTGTGTAACATGCAATTTCTGAATATCGTATGCTTCTCAGAAACGTAGATATAAAAACGATTAGCGACTGACACATGTTAAAAAATATACATACGCGGGTGTTTTGCCACGTGTAACGATACTGATCTGATCGTGTGCAATTTACGATGTACGTAAACAAAAACGTTTCACGTATCTTAAGTCAGAGTAGAAAAGCTTCAGTGAATATCGAACCGCCCCGCTGCCACTTTAAATTGCATGGGTAGCCAGATTACGCTTGTGCGTGTACAAGAGTCAAGAGCACTTCCGAATGCGTATGCAAATGTAAATGAAAATATTTTTCCAGTTTCTTGGACTAATCTAATTTATACGTTGTCCTTAAATACCGTGCGCACGGTGGCCTCCACGGTAGAGCAATAAGCAACCTCCCAAGTCCTAAATCGATTCCCTTTCCACGATCTAATATTCGCATACGATTAGCATAGATTCAGAAATCCCGTTTCTTTCATTGATTCTTATACGCATGGTATCTGTGCACGAATTAACAGAACCGTGACGATTGTTTAATTTTCGCTTTACGATTACAATTACATTTCGAACGTCAAACACTTATTTCGGCTCCGAGGCGAGAGCAGCGTTGGAGATTCTTTAATTGCCGCATTAAATTTCTTTCGATGAAGCTAATTAAATAATGTCAATTCTTCATCAGGCAAACCCGAATAAAAAAGTGAACGTTAATTGCCAGTTAGCGTCCAATTGAATTAAACATTTATCTGCAACCCTGAACAAACGTGAGAAGCGAAGAAAGACGATTGAACTCTTACGATATCAAAACCAATGTCGTAATGCGTTCCCCTGACGTGAATGATGGGGATAGCGTGTCTTCTTCCGATGTCCTGCGCCGCGGGCGCGCTTTCTGTTCCCGCGGGGTTTTCGGCCTTGGTCATGCTCCTCGTCGGTCTCTGTCCTCCGCCTGTGGCTTCTAGTTTCTAGTTCCTCACCTCTGAACAGACAATTCGAATTTCGCTGCACTACCTCGAGCACGCATCTCCTTCCTCTCTCGCGATTTCGAGCAGACACATTCCCGCGCACTTATACATTACAACGGACAAGCATGTACACGGTGCGATGCATGTGCCTGGTCGCGTTGGAGAACGCGCAATGTGTCCCCGTTTAATTATCGGACGTCTATCTATCGCTTGTGCAGCGCGCGCTCTTGTATCAGGCACGGATTTACCCGATTCCGTTTCCCACGCGATCATCTGTCGCGATATCGTTTCTTCTCGTGCACCCAGTGCGCTTAAAATGATGAACAAGGACCCACGGATGCGTCGCATTTTACACGTAGATGGATCGAATTTACTGAACCGATCGATAGCTTTTAACGCGATTGGAGATCGCGACGCGGGACAGCGAGCCGAAAGCAAACGGTCCGATACGTGGAAAGAAGGGATGAGACGAACGAAGAAGAAGCGCGCGTAATGATTGCTGCAGAGTTGCGAGAAACACGAGACGATGTTCGAGATGAGATAAAATTCTACCAGAGATTCGGCAAAAAGAAACAAATATATGTACTTACGCGTATCAGGCGTGTAGATATAATAGAATAGAAGAAATCGTTCGATTTGGTCTCAGATCTCTGATGTCACTTTCTGTTGCGTCTGCCGTTTGATTTTTCTTATCTCGCGGTCACTTCTCTGAAGAAATACGCGGGCGAACGTACGAATCCTGGAGACGGTTTCGAATGCCGACGGAACGGTGACGATCGTCGCGTGCGACTGTCGGTGCGCTACGACGATCGGCTTCTCTCTTCTACCGAAGACTGTCAAGCCTAATCTACCTTTTATCGACTTACGTCGATTAGCGGAGTTGTATGGTATGCCGCGCGATATACGCAAGGGTACTTGGTTGCGCAGGGATAGCCAAGGTTCGTTTCCTCTCGAAGTAACAAAAAACATTCTCGTCGTATTTAAACATTTAGGTATTTAAGGAATGTATTGTATCATGTTCCAATTATCGCGCCACCATTACGGTTTGTCGATTTTCATTTCTATTGACGATGTACAGAACGGAAAGACTATAAGGACCTTGTCCAAGAGCCATCTGATCTGAGTTAGCTCAGATTAGAAAATCGGTTAAATAAATAAATAAAGAAATGGACAAGTTTGATATGTCTGTAAATAAATTCTATTGACGATTTATCGCGCTCGCGATGCATAAGGAGTTACGTGCGTATGTTGTCCCTAATTATACTGCATCGTCGAAAGATAGCTGTTATCATGTATAATTTTTTCCACGCGTATTTGCGGATTAGAATCGACGTCAACAATGAACTCGCTTCTTCTCGTACAGAATCGTTTCTTATCTTGCAACCCATTTTCAACTTTCAATTTCCATAAAATAGAAAAGAAAATAAGTCGAATAATCAAGATCGCACGATTTCTTTTTCTGATTTCTATTTATTCCCAAGGGGGTATCCTATATATTGAATCCAAGTGTTATTTCCATAGATATAGATACTATGTTATTCAGAGGATAATCGCGAGACGAAGGATGTCCTCGGCCTCCGGATGACACGAAGAAGAAGAAGAGGAAACACCGATTGGTCATAACGTTAGATCGGGCCGGACCCATACATATAAGCATAAATGTGTACCTAAATAAGTAAAATCTAATCGCGAGCATGATCAAATATAATTACATACGCCGTAAGGTACGAGTACCGAGAAATGCATCTGATTGCAGTGCACGGTCAGCCGTTACTCCGGCTTCCAAATACGCGCATTTCACGACTATAAATGGATAAGAGCTAAAATTAGAATCTTTTTTACGGTTTCCCGGCGACATTATGTTTTCAAATCCGATAACAACCACATCGTATCGTTTACAATGAAATATTGCTCGCTCGATTTGATCGTTATCGTTACCACCTCACTATGCATCGTTAATCCTGAACTACATTCGCCAATGATGCGGAGTAAGGTGACTAAAGGTAAAGGAGACAAGCGAATCTCATAGACGTAGGCATAGACACGGGCTACAAACGATTTGCATAGTAAATACATGAATATGTATACATGACACGAGACGCGACGCATAGTTATATCTCGAAAAGGTTGTAAAGAAGCGGAAAGAGCGATAAATCTAATACGGAAAAAGACATTATAATTATGCTTTATGCACGTGATTCCTCGAAACTATGCCAAACTCGCGTCAGGGAATTTCAAATCGATTATTACGTTGTTCGATGATTTCCTATAAATAAAGATACCATCGCGGTATCGTTGAAATATTCCGTCGGCTTGCATACTTCTCTGTGCGATCAACCGAGAAAAATCAAAGTAGTATTGTTACTTTCTAGTAATTTATTAGTGTACATTTTTATAATGTAACATCGCCGCGTACGTACGTATATATAAATATGTACAATACACGTGCGTGGTTGTACGCATTCGTATATGTTTACAGGATCTCGCACTCGCATACGTTACATATGTATATCTGTACATTTTTGGAGATCTGTGAGCGATATTTAACGTACCTAATAAAATACGTATACTGCAAAATGTACACAGTAACAAGTCACCTATTACGTTTTGGTCAGTCTGAAAAAAAAGAACAATTCTATTTAGTAAAAACCGCTGATTTTCCCTCTTTATATATAATTCCGTTCTCGCTTTCTATTTTCTGTTTACGCCTTCTCTCGACGTAAAACGAAAAACGAAAGACAAAAGAAACATACCGCAACGTATCATATACCGTTCGGTGATAATAACTTACTTAAAATACAATATACATGATCGCTGTCGTTACGTTAGACGATGTGCGAATCGAAAATTTCTTCGATAAAATTGAAAGAATAGAAGGGCAAGATGCACTACGAATAATTATAAACACGAACGAGGAGATAGGCAGACAATTAATAGGAACAAATCAAATTTTTCAAGAAAAAATGTCCGATTCGCGAACGAAATCTTTTTACCGCATCCGCCGAGACAAACGCACAATTATAATAAAAAGAGACAACTCGCTATTCGGTCATGATATAGATTAGAGATATACAATAATATACGCAATATGTATAGCCGATCGCTGCCCTTGATTTTCGGTTAGTCGTAAAAAACGTTTATGCACCCCGTTCTCTTCGGGGTTTATTCGCGAAAGGAGAACTAAGAAACGATAAGGTATGGAATAAAAAGATATTACGTTCCACGAGAACAAGTTACGCAACGTCGATATGATCGCGGTGGCGCCGTCGTTGGGGTGCTCTCTCCTTCTCTCTCATTCATAGACGTTCGGTTTTAACGGCGACGTGCTACGTACGTATCCCGCACGCCTCGACGGGCTTGCGGAGGTACGTTCGATGATAACTCAGTCTTGTCTAAGAAAAAGTTAACGCCGTGGCCGTAGCCTGATCGGCAAGGTTCAACAACAACGGTTCACCGCGAGCACGAGCTTTAATTATATTAATGAATGTCCATGTCCATGTAGCGTCTTTTCTCCATTGCCGGAACGAAACGGCGCAAGAATTACCAAGAACTGCGCAACGTAATCTCTCCTCTCCCGATCGTCTTAACTCTCGCGACTCAACACGCTGCTGCGTGCTTGGCTCTTCGCTCAGCAATTCGTTGACTTCGTCTCAAAGTTCGCGGTTGCGATTCAGCGTCCATTTCTTCTTCGGAATCGGAAATATCTAGCGCCGTGCTTCCAGCGTATCGCCAGCTGAGGATCGCACCATCCCACTAAAATCAATCGTCGTGGTTTATTCGCTCGGCTTCACTACTATGTGTCTACATCGCACCGCGAGTAAACGGATACATACAGACGTCGAAACGATCTCTGGATGAAACGGATGCCAACTAACATCGCGTACGCATCTTTTGTGACCGAACAGAGTAGTGACTATCCTACCCGTCAGAACATCGTATACTGTAACGAACCGAAAATGATTAGCCCGAGTTAAATCGATGAAAAGTAAACAAGATCGGAAGACGACTCGAAACTTACTTATCACGCGACCGGCGGCGCATCCGGTGTATATATACCTTTGACCGGTAGTGGACGAAGGCGAAAAATGACATCTTATCAAGGTTTGAAGAACCGAATGACCGCGGTAAGTCATGACACTGGTATCGCCTTCCAGCATGTTTCTGGCCCTGTACACTGCAATGAGAGAAACAATATTATTGCCGGTAGCCGATACAGAATATCGACAGAACAGACGACGATACTGATCGGTTACTAACAACGTTTTGGTACTCGTTGCCACCGATAATCCCAATTTTGATTCGCAACGGCTTTACGCGTATTCTCTTCACCGTTGTGATCGGAAAACGCGCGAACGTCCCACAATTTGATCGTTTGATCTTTACTGTTGGTGATTAAGTAACGGCCATCGCCTCGCGGGTCGATGTACGTGATACCGTCCATATGGCCTGCCAATATTCCGACTGGACGCGGTCCAGTTTCGTTCAAAGTTCTTCTATCCCAAACCTACAAATGGCAAATACAGACAAGAAACGTAAAAGAACTTTCGAGCCGAAAAGTTTCAAATGATTTTTTGGCTGGAATGGATTACCTTGCAAAGACCGTCGTCCCCCGCACTGTACAAAATCTGTGAGGTATTATCTGCAAAAGCAACAGCGTTCACGTCGTTGTTGTGGCCTGCGATCTGTAAAAGAAAGATATATATATATATATATAGACGGTGACATTAGCGACCAGCGAGCTTAAACAAAATTTATACGAACTTTGAACGCCCGCTGATGGCATTCTCGATCGTAAACGTAGAGGTAACCATCGTTCGCTCCGCCTAAAATTTCACGACCGTCACTGGAAAATACAAGCGAGAACACGCAAAATCTTCGATCGTCCGGACACAACGACAACGATTCTTGAGCACTCGAGTCTCCGTAAACGGGGCAGAGATACACTGTAAATGAACAAAGGTATTCGGTATTCGGTAAATCGTGCACGTGTCGATCTAATCTAGGATAAGTCGTTGAACATCTACTCACGAGATTCCGACCAACTCGAGTAAACAATATAATTCCCGTCAGGACTAAACGCTGTGTCCAAGATGCTCCAACCCATATCTCGCGCCGAGATCTTCTTAACTTCTGCGAAACCTCCATCTTGCGTCCGATAAAGACGTAAATATTTGTCTGGCAACGGCATAATTCAACAATTATAAAATTGGATCATTGAAAAATTAGTCGAATTTTATAGAACAAACGATTCTGATTACTTGCCTTGACTGGCAGTTAAGAGAAATCTTCCATCCTTCGAAAAAGAGCCGCAAAAAGCTTTGGTTCTATATTTAGCGACCTGATGCATTTTATTTGGTAAAAATCTATTGGTTATTCCGCACCTTTCACCTGTGCTAAAATTAGGACCCAGGGCTCTTCTCTGAATCATCGACGTTATGTTACAAGGTTTATCCATGCTATCCAAGTATCCGCAAGCTTGCTTCGTGACAAGACTTATTTCGCTTTTCTGAAAGATAAAACGACGACGAAAGCATCGAATAAGTATGAAAAGTATACAACCAACAGTGATCGAGTCCATAGGTATCTAAAAGTAAACAACGAACGTCTAGCCTGGATGTGTTTGGTGACAAAGTGATTTTCGGTGGTTGCGAATTCGCGGCATATTCTTCGTCCGAGTCATCGTGATTCGAAGATATGATCTGATGTAGCTGGCGGCTGCAACGATAGAAACCGAGAAAAATTAATCGTTTTCCTGATCTCGTGATCGTCGTGATTTATTGAAAAGGCAATACGGAAAGTGAAAAGGTTAAGACGTTTAAGTAAGAGCTAAAACGTCGAGGTCGAAAAAAAATGTACTATTCGTATCCGATGTAGATGTAAGTCATTTCGTTCCGACGACGAGGCGAGCTAAAAACGAGCCAGATATTTAAATAAATCAAGCCCGTGTAGCGTGTACACGATGCAAAGCATAAAAAAATAGAAGATCGTACGTAGAACGGGAGGTTAGAATCACTTCCGCGTTTTCACGTTCATTTGTTTTTCACGTGTACTTCCCCCTCGGATTCTTTTCGCAGTTTCTCTACGTATATCGCCGCACGTTCGTCTCTTCGACGTACACGAATTACGAAAGAAATTCGTACTTGGCTACGACGTGAGAAATGTCTCGATTCTAATAATTCTTCGAACAAACCTGCGTATCAAATAATGCAAAATGTCAACCAGCCCGGGATCGTATCCGATTTCCATATTCCGTGAATTAATCCCTCCCATGCAGAGAGCGAGCGAATCTTATTTATCGTCTAAAAGCAAACAACAAAAACTTCCGAACTCCTAATAGTTGGTGGTGAATGGCGTTATTGCAGTGTATACTTGTGACAGTTAAAGATCTGTCGAGTCGAGTCGAGTCGAAACAGACAACGTTAAGAACGAAGAGAGCGGCAACGCGAGCGCCAGCGACCGATCGCAAGTTCGAGGCCGAGATTCAATTTGAATCTGAAAATTCGTCGCGATCCTAAGTATGCAGAAACATTTTACGCAACACTATCTTGTAATTAAAAGGGAGAGTCCAACTACGATACTACGCTTGCCACGCATACGGAAACCTGTTACTTCATACAGTCCTACGTAGAAAACTGTTTCGAATTAGAACTGTACTGTGCGCCCTAATAGCGGAAAATTTAAGATCTACGCGCTCTTCCAAAGAAACTTTTCTGCGTTGCGAATAATAGCTGCTTTTCCTTCACGATTGACAACTTTTTAATAAATTTGCAACTATCGTTGATAACAGTGATCACAAGTATTGTAATATAATATTAAGCGCGATAAGTTAAGTTTGGATCTTGTTCGACGGTCTTGTAGTCAAATCTATTTCAAATAAATAAATACTCGTAAATCTTATTCGCGATCTGGCTTAATTTGTTCATCTGTTCTTCCCACATTCCATTATACTTTCGATATAAATCGTATCGTATTCNGATGTAAGTCATTTCGTTCCGACGACGAGGCGAGCTAAAAACGAGCCAGATATTTAAATAAATCAAGCCCGTGTAGCGTGTACACGATGCAAAGCATAAAAAAATAGAAGATCGTACGTAGAACGGGAGGTTAGAATCACTTCCGCGTTTTCACGTTCATTTGTTTTTCACGTGTACTTCCCCCTCGGATTCTTTTCGCAGTTTCTCTACGTATATCGCCGCACGTTCGTCTCTTCGACGTACACGAATTACGAAAGAAATTCGTACTTGGCTACGACGTGAGAAATGTCTCGATTCTAATAATTCTTCGAACAAACCTGCGTATCAAATAATGCAAAATGTCAACCAGCCCGGGATCGTATCCGATTTCCATATTCCGTGAATTAATCCCTCCCATGCAGAGAGCGAGCGAATCTTATTTATCGTCTAAAAGCAAACAACAAAAACTTCCGAACTCCTAATAGTTGGTGGTGAATGGCGTTATTGCAGTGTATACTTGTGACAGTTAAAGATCTGTCGAGTCGAGTCGAGTCGAAACAGACAACGTTAAGAACGAAGAGAGCGGCAACGCGAGCGCCAGCGACCGATCGCAAGTTCGAGGCCGAGATTCAATTTGAATCTGAAAATTCGTCGCGATCCTAAGTATGCAGAAACATTTTACGCAACACTATCTTGTAATTAAAAGGGAGAGTCCAACTACGATACTACGCTCTTGCCACGCATACGGAAACCTGTTACTTCATACAGTCCTACGTAGAAAACTGTTTCGAATTAGAACTGTACTGTGCGCCCTAATAGCGGAAAATTTAAGATTTACGCGCTCTTCCAAAGAAACTTTTCTGCGTTGCGAATAATAGCTGCTTTTCCTTCACGATTGACAACTTTTTAATAAATTTGCAACTATCGTTGATAACAGTGATCACAAGTATTGTAATATAATATTAAGCGCGATAAGTTAAGTTTGGATCTTGTTCGACGGTCTTGTAGTCAAATCTATTTCAAATAAATAAATACTCTATGGTCGGATTTTGTCAACATCAATAAAATGCCAAATAATCATATGTAACTCATTAAATATTGAAATTAGAAGAAGAATGCACTATTTTTAATTATAGGAAATGCGTTTTTCTAAGGTACATGAACTTTTGGTACTGACTATATAGCCAATACATCCTTAAATACACCCTCGAGATGCAGCCCTGAAACTGAACCGTAGGCAACGATCATGGCTTCAATCCATCAACTATCGACTTATTTATAATATGTAACTTGATATTAAATAACTCGATATCGTTAAAAATATATTCGTCCTACTGTCGTTAGATTCGCTCAGAATATACTACCTTATAACTTTACATGTATATCGAGTATTGCGTATAACCCGTAATATTTTATATTATTGCGCACACGTCGTATAGATACGGGCAGGTATGGGGTACGTACGGTACGATACGGATGTGTACGTACACGTATATGAGCCATCCCCTGACCCCTAACCCCGGCGACCCGCGGCCGCAGCTACCTGCTGCCCGTAGCTGAATAGGTACAATTTCCAGGCGAAGTCCTACATCCTGGGAGCCGGAACCAAGCCGGAGTCGAGGTCGTGGCCAAACCCATACCCTGCCCGGGATCGAAAGCTGCGCATGCGGCTGTTCTCTCTTTTCTTCCGCCTTTCTCGCTCTAAAGGGTACGACCTGTCCACCCGACCACGTTATCGTCCAGGATAAGAACGAGGTCAGAAGCGGATGCGAGCCGGACGTCTTCCGTTCTCTGTCCGAAAACGCCGAAACCGCGACGCGACGATGATACTCGGACGCGCTCGACGGGATTAGGATCAAGAGCGGCGAGGATACCATCGCGGAACGAGGACGAAAGCGAGGTCCAGGGTGGGCGAATAGTAATAATTCGTAGAGGAAATTGAAAGCGGAAGCGAAATTGAAGACGGCGCAACGTTGTCAGCGGATCGAGAGGGTGAGGTCCGCGAAGAAGATAAGCATGGATTCGATTAAGCAGGAAGCGACGGAGGTGGAAGAAACGAGGAGACAAGATCGTTGATTGGGATGGAAAGAGGGTGCAATCGGAGGGAACACGCGGCGATACGTGAGCGTAAGGGAAACGAGTCAGGAAATAGGCGGCAGGATCGTGCACCGGATTTCGGATCGGAGAGCAGTGTCGGTGATGTGATCGCGCCGATCGCGTGTCAATCGTGTTCGACCGTGACCGTCTTCCTTTGGATTCCTCGCGGGTCCCCGAGCGACGCGCGCGTGCTCCAAGCTGTCGCGCATCGCGCATTACCCTTCTTTCGGTTTCTTCATGCTTATAGCGTTCAGTGATTCCCGTTGTCGTCGGCAACAGGTGAGCAATTCCCAGCAGCATTCGGGTTCGCTTCTTCTGCCTTTTCGAACGATTTTTACTCATTCGTGCCTCCTTTTCCTCTTTGCGTTTTTCTCTCCCTGATACCCTCTGATTGAAGAGGACGATGAAAAATAGACGATCGTAACATCTTCGCCTTCCTCGCGACTCCTTCGGTCTCTCGATCGATCCGTACGTATGGTTTCATCTACTGTACACCTGCTAGTGTACGTATTCGGATGCAATTTACGATCATTTCACGTGTTATCCGATACGAACGTCTATGGTGTCCGAACCGCTAGGCCGGTGCTTCCACTAGCTAGCCCGGCTATACGCGAATTATATCCGAATCGATCGAGCTCGCTCGCACCGCTATTATTACGTGCGTATTGGGTGCATCGAGCTTCGATCAACCGTAGAACTCTCAAGGGCTTTTTCCTTCTCTTTCTCCCTTATCCGAATGTTCGTCCGAGTGCAAACGAAGTGTTCGCTGTTACCAATTAATATGAACTTATTTAATTTTTATCAAACGACCAGCAACGAGTGTTTGAACGTCTCGCGTACGAGCATTTTTATCGATCGCAAATCCTCGACGCGATCCGTTTCTCGACACCGTTTTATAACGATAGTACATGTATAATTAGTTAAAGGGTAAAAGATACATGCGTAGGTAGACATCGCACTCATCGAATTTCCGTACTGGACGTTGTCTTTCTCTATTTTAGTCGCGCCTCGTTTCTACGATAGCGCGTTTTCTTGCGGAAAAATAAATACTTTTCCCATTCGAATTTTCAATCGATCCGATCTTACTAACGACCACGGCGACGACGACGGCGGTTGGTCCTGCACGATAAGTACGTGGACACGCGGGATATATCTAGGAAGGTGCGAGGAGGTCGAGTCGATCGATAAGGAGTTGCGTAAGGAGGATGGTAGAGCCGCGAAACGAATTGGCGAGCCCGAAAACGCATTTAGGGCAGGAAGCAGGGAGTAGTTATTTCTTATGGTAACTAAACACGTGGACGTTTATTAATAATTCGAACGATGAAACAGGTGCGTCGCGTGTTCTAAAAAAAAAAGTGACCTGCACAGTGCACAGTGCGCGACGATAATAGCTGTAAGTACATCCGATAGATCAAGATCGAAAGTGATCCGACTCGATCGATGAGCAGCATCGAGCTCGGCGACGTCTAACGATCGACAACGAGGACGAGAAGAGCGTCGTTATGTTTGCCAAATCGAAGAGCAGCAGCTCGACACCGAGCGTTCTACTCTCGAATCCTCTTCAACATTTGTACGAGGTCGGCAAACAGTTGGCCACCGCAGGGCCCGAACACGCCTGGCGCATTTACGATGCGTACACCAAACTGGACCATAAGGTAAATCTTGGCTCTCGCTCGAATCTTCATCAGGAAAATTAAAGATCCTGTTTCGTTTCGTTCTTTCCTCGGTTTTAGGAAGTGTCGATATTTGTTTTCGACAAACGATCGGTCGAAAAGTTGCACAAGCCGAAGAGGAAAGAGATCGTGACGGAAATTTTAAGAAATGGGGTACGACAGATGGAACAAATATCTCATCCGAAGATACTGCAGGTAAAATGACGCAGGACGTGTCGCGTCGTCGCAAGCGAATGCGTGTACGCGATACGGAATATTTTCAGGCATACAAAGTCGAAGAGTGTCCGGACAGTTTGGCGTTCGCCTCGGAGCCGGTTCTGGCCAGCCTCGCAAACGTTTTGGCCTATCAGGAGCAACGACAGCAACAGGCGAACAATCTCGGTCACACGTCGAGTAATTCGACCAAACAGACTTCCTCGGCCGGTCACCGTACCACTTATGTTAAAGAATACGATTTACTCGACATCGAGATAAAATACGGATTGCTGCAGGTAAGTTTGCTAATCGGTCGCGAGTGGCCACGTATACGGTTCGATCTTCCTCAGATCACAGAGGCTCTGCTCTTCCTTCACGGGACTTCCAAAGTAATTCATAGAAACATCTGTCCGGCGAGCATAATAATTACCAAAAGAGGCACTTGGAAATTGGCTGGACTCGAATTCATGGGTGAGTTTGAGACATTATGTTTACGGTTACAGCTTAGTTAAAGCTTACAAAACACGTAATCTTGTACCGATCGTCATAGAAAAAGTGGACGAAACGCCAATGATAGTACTACAGCCGTGGACGAATCGCATGTCGAAAATGGCACAACCTAATCTCGATTACACGGGTAAGAGCAACGACTTTCTTTCCTAGCATACGTGCGCAATTAATATGTACAGTATGTATTTCGTTTGCACCGCATCTATCGATGTTAACGTAAAGCGAAATACTTGTCTTGCAGCACCGGAAATACAGCAGAAGAAAATGGGTGGTTTCTGCAGCGACGTGTACAGCTTCGGAATGACGATATGCGCGATTTTCAATCAAGGTCGGCCGCTGATTCAAGCGAATCACAATTGTTCCGAATATGCGAAACAACTGGAAAACGTGAGCAAGCTGACGCGACGTCTTTTTCTCTTGTTCTTTCGTCTGCCTCTTCCTCCCCCGTCTCAATCTCGTACCGCTTCCGTTCGAACAGTTGAAGGATCAAGTTGACGCGATACTGCATATAATTCCCCTACCGCTGACAGGAGTCGTCCCCCGGCTTTTGCACCTTGATCCAGAGAAGAGGCCGACTACTCAAATTTTAGCCATGATCAAATACTTTAAGTACGTAATTTCGGCTGATAAATCCAGGACGATTTTTGCGCGATGATTCGTCTTATTTACAGTCTACTCGCATTCTGTTTCAGGGATCCGCTGGTGCATGCGCTTCAATTTCTCGACTTGAGCAAGATGAAGGACGTCTCGCAGAAGGTTCATTTTTATACGACTACTTTAAAGGGAATATTGCCTTATATAGATAAGGTAATGTACTCGCGTACCTAAGAGTGTCTACATAACGGTAGTAATTTGCGCTAACGATAAACTACGAAATGCGCAGAAACTATGGTATCAGCATATCTGGACGTACTTGCAAATCGAATTGGAGAGTCAAGAGGTTCAATCAGCCGTACTGCAACCGGTGCTTTACATCGTGCAACATAGCACGCAGGAAGAATACGATCAAATTATATTTCCATCGTTACAGTAAGTTCTTTCTCTCGCTTCCTCCCTGCTCTCCCTATCATCTCTCGTATGGTTCGTAGGTTGCTCTTTTCAAATCGCAAATCGATTCAAGGGACAGTAACTCTGTTGGAAAATTTGCATTTGATACTGGAGAAAACACCGCGGGAGTACGTGGAAGGCGAAGTACTTCCGATGTTGTACATGTCCTTTGAGAATTCTACTGTTCAAGTGCAGGTACGTAGGTACGAGGTAAAAAAAAAGGAGAAAAGGTAATGGTGAATAAGCATGAGTGAGCTGAACCGAAGACGATTCACAGACAGCGGCGTTCGTAGCCGTAGCGAACGTATCCAACTACATCGATGACATGTCCGTTCGGAAAGTCGTCCTGCCGAAACTGCTTCAGGCATTCGAGAATGATCGAAACAAGGTGGATCCTCTGATACTTATAAACGTGATTTCTTGCATTCTGAATCGATTGGAAAAAGACGAAATCATCGATCGTATCTTGCCGTTGTTGTACAAAGTGAAATTTGAAGATCCGGAAGTGGTCGTGCGAGTCGTGAGTAAGTATTGTAAGCGGATCTCGCCACGCCGTTCGTCTTTCGATCCACAACTTGCGTTCCAGAGATTTACAGGCTGATGTTAACGGACAAAAAGTATGGACTCTCTGTGAACTGGATGGTGACTCGAGCTATGCCCTCTCTTCTACCTCAGACTATCAATCCTAGATTGAACCTCGAACAGTTCGAGACGCTTTTAAAAGTATTGCAGGATATGCTTATCCATATAGAAAGGTGAAACTGTTGATCGAATTAATACTAATCGTAAGAAAATAAGCTACTTGTATTACGAAACGTCTTAAATAACTATCGTCTTCTGTCTTTTCTCTCGCATTTCGTGTCGTTCTGTTTTGTTGCGTTTTTCTTTGCGTTTATTTGCGCGAACCGAACGGGAACAGATACCAGAAAAATCAACTGAACCTGGACAATTTGTCGCTGTCGAGTCCGGATCGGTTCTCGGACAGATACATGAGCCGGGGATTGCGGCATCAGCAGAGTACAGATAATATGTACATCGCGCAGTTCAACATACCAACTCTGCGTACCGACCAGCGAAAAACATTCTCAGCCGAAAACATGGCTCGAAAGAACAGCCTAAGTACTGAACTATTATAAGTGTTACTTACGTATACGCGGTAGAATGATAAAATTTGATCGTTTCATCCCCGTAGATTCGATGTCGACGACGGCATCGGCCGAGAACATGACGAAGAGAGGTTCCGTGGGAGGAGGTAAGCGAACGATGCTTTACGCTTGGAAGCCTCGAGTCAAAATCGAGGCGCGAATTAATGTTCTTTCGGTTCGCGTCAGCTATAATGCAATGGTTCTCGTCAACGAGCAACGACAACTTCTTAAGAGTGACCGCCAACCCTTTCACGAATAGAAGATTGTCGGACAATACTTTGACGACGCCGAAAATTCGCATAGCTCCGTCGTGCGAGAGCTCCCCGGGTGGAACGCCCGGTGATGGATTGCCGTTTCGGCGACATTCTAGCATCGGATCTCAAGACCGACGCGGATCCAGTATCAATTTATCACCTCCTTTGGTATCGTTTGTTCGTTTCACTTTTTCCGCGATCACCCGTCCTATATCAAAATTCTAACGTGAAAAATCGGAATAATCGATTTGTCGCTAGGGCGGAGGAATGCCGGTTACGAGCAGCAGCGTGCCGTACTTGTTTAGCTCGAGCATGAACAGCATACGGGGATCGAGGCGCCCATCAGTTTCCTCGACATCCTCGCAACAAGGGACCGGATTGTTCCAGCCTGGTATTTGCAACAGTATGGTAAGAGTACCTTCCATCTGCCTCAACCTGAATGGACCACCACCACCACCACCACAACCACCAACACTCTCTCCATTACTCCAGCTACCGGGACAGTCTTCCCATTGACCCTTCGTTACAGCGTAAGGATATTCACTAGTTTATCCTACGAAACTTTTCTTTTTCGAATTACACGAACCACGAAAGACGCGAACAAGCCCAAACGCTATCGTTTCTATCTTTCATACGAAATACGAACTCTCGTCGTTTTCCGAATCGTTATATACAGCGCATTCATGGAGCGACCAAAATTCCATATTATTTCCCGCTTGTCCCGTCTTTATCCCGTTTATGCCTCCCACCTCTCTCTCTCTCCTCTCTCTCTCTCTTTCTCTCGATGTCTACTCGACCTATTATTTGTATGATCTAGCATTTAAGTGTCTATTTGTGTACGCTCCGCCTTGCGCGCACGGATTCATATTGTTCGACATCGATCACTTTAAACTGAAATCCACGTGTGGACGACGTTCGAGGTTCGAATCGACCGGTTTTGTTACCGTTGCATCATTGCGTAGAAACATGATCGGCGTTAACGAGGATCATAACGCGACGCTCGCCTTTTTATTTACTTCCAGCTCCAACTTTTAAAGAAACAGTTCGACGCCTGAATTGGAGAAGAGAAGCCCGATCGTCCGTCCGCCGGTGATCCTTCTCGAGAGAAAGGAAACGGAGCGTCGACAATTAACCAATAATTTTATAAATATCCTTCTACTCCGCGCCATGGGAAAGTGCGAAAGACGAAGGTGAGCATGTACCTTATCCTATCGTGTCCAGAGGAAGATTACGGGTATGGTCGATAGAAATGTCCCGTTTCAACGGAAGATATCTTGGGTCTTATATTTTTTTGAGGGTTTTCTTCATCAAACGAGATAGAACTGCGATTTCGCCAAATAAACAATAAGCCGGTTTTCTTTTCGTTCGAAACAGGAATTTAAAGTGAGCCACTTTCACGATCCGTACAAATGAGAAGCGTCTATAAAATTTACGTGATACCGTGTGGACGCGGGGGAGAAAGAATCACCTACTCCTATCGACCATTTCTTCCTCCGGAGATGTGTCCGTTTCACGATTCGATTCGAGCGAAACGGACATAAAAAATTCCTCGATATAGTCTTGTACGTAGATATACCTACTTTTTCTAAATGTGCAAAGATGGAAATTTTACGGCAACCGCAAGCACCGCGCGGTCGATTCACGCGTTGCATAAATCAGTCGACGTTATATGTACATGCAATTTTTTATGTATACGAGTTTACTTACGGTCGACTAAAAATATTCTATACACGCGTATATTGTACTATTATTATACGATTATACCAGGTGCTCTTCGACTTCGATGCACGCATACATATCAAATAATTAATTTATGTTCCGACGTCGTTTTTGCTCCTCGATCGTCCTTCATCTAACAATCGAACAGAAGAAGATGCTACTCGTTCAATTGGATAACGCGTAAATATGTATACGTGTCATCAATTTGTTAATTACATTACGCGTTAAATATGTACGAATGTGCAAACGCGAGATAATCGCGTCTCATGGACGTGCGACACTGCAAGGAAACTAAGTGTTCTTACGGTTTGCGTCGGCCACTGTACACTAGTATTTTACGTTGGCCTCTCGCACGCGCGTCGACGTAAAAACATTTGATCGCATTAAACTGCGTGGACAATCGTGGATGACCGTTAAACGATCGTAGACAATCATTAGACGCGACGAGCTCGCGAAGATGCTAAGCGTTTTCCAAAATACAAGCGTACCTAATTACCTATACCTTTTATCGCATCGTTATGTACCTGTCACGAATTATCGTACAATCACACGAGTTGACAATCATTCTCTCAAATTCTAGAAGATATTTATCAAGAGATCGTTACCAAGATATAAATATAATATAAATTTTATCGCGCGCGAACCAGTACGTAAAAGTAAGATAGCGTCACATGCCTCGTTTCGTTCCTCGTTATTGATGATTATCGTTGTCCTCCCGTTGTTTATTCTACTTCTCGTTTCGGCTCGAGCGCCGACGTTGACTCGTCCGTTCCAAGCGCGATTCCTAATTCCTGTTCGTATAACTGTCGTATCATGGCGCGGAATGTCGATTTCTCATATTTTTTAATACTTGTTCGTAATTCATTTTACCCCTGCACGTAAACGCGGAACCGTGATCATAATTCTGAGGCTCGCATTCGCTGGTCTTCTCTCTCTTACCGTTCTTCTTGTTCTCGTTCTCGTTGTTATTATTATCATTATCGTTACGTGTAACACGCGTCAAAGATCCCGAAGATCTCGGCCGTCATAGAATTTTACCACGTTATAAAAAATTATGGCGACCAGGGGCCTTCTCGTACGTGCCCTATACATAAAAATAAGCTCGATGGATGTCCTATCAAGAAGATAGAGTCTATCCGATAAATGTTTCCTAAACTATTACGCTTCGAAAGATTTTCCATTTATGTACTATATCATACATGCGTACGTGCGTGTATGTATCGTAATTATCGCAAATCCGTTCTATGGTCAATATAAGTACATATAAGTACAATGTTAAATCTTTAAACTTTGTTGACTCCCCTCGAAAGACAGATATATGTATATTTCGTAAATGTCCTAAATGCAAAGTGGTTAAGTGTGCGTGCGTGTACATGTATTTACTGTATTCTTTTCGAAGTATGTGTGTATGTATGTTGAGTGTATACAACTACGTATCATGTATATGAATAATAAAACACGATGGCACTAAGCAGATTCGCTAATTTCTATTTACTTCAAAAGCAACGTTTCCAAAAATGAATATTCCACAGGATTATTTCTTTCACCATAATTAATACGTAAACGGTTTCGATTCGGCAGACTCGGTTTTATTAAAGTAAAGAACACAGCAGGTGAACAGCTGCTGATTTGCAAAATAAAATAAACGATCGCAGAGGTAACGAAGAATGGTAGTTCGATGGTTTGACCGTCGTCGCGTGGATATAAATTAACGAGTATGAAAAATCTTTGGTATCGAAGGGGGAAAGGGGGAGAGAGCTATATCGATCGGTTCGCTACCGCGATCGGCAGTCGAAATTTCTACGAATGGACATCTCCGAGGAGGCGATCGACATCCATCGGTTTGTGTCGGATCGGTACCACGTCAAACCCAGAGAATATTTGCCGTTCAAGTTTGCGTGTTGACAACGACTGAACCACCATCCACCGTGATAATTTTGAGCGCAGTTACTCGGACTGACGTCCATGTCCCGGTCTCTCGTGCTGAAAGCCATTCCGTTCTGATAGGAAAAGGCATCGGTCGCGTTCCCAGTGTACTCGCCTACGCGCAATCTGTAACCGTTCTCCTCCGAGTCGACCGTGAACACGCGATATTCCGCGCGCCAACGTTCTCCGTAAATGTCCAGCATGTCGATTCGAAGGCTGGAGCAATTGTCGCGTGTAAGCTCGTGGAGAATCTCGTTTCCGATCCAATACTCTGTCACCGGGGAACCGAAACCGAGAGAGTATTCGTCCCAGCTGCGATCGAAATCCAGACTCCCGTCGATGCGACGCGCGATCACGATCCAACCTTCGCGACAGAAGATCAACATCGGTCTACTGCCTTTCGCCGGTTCGAACAACCTCAGCCCGACCGTCGTCGGTTCGATTTCGCTCGTTCGCTGCTCGCTGCAATAGTCGCCTCCGATCAGATCGTTCCCAATTAGGTGATACCTATCCTCGAGTTGCTCCAGGTTCGACAGCGACGACGACGACGACGAGTACCTGGTCTGCAACGGATTTGAATGAGGAGACATGGCTCCGATCGGGTACCCGGTCCCGTTCGACCGATGGAAAATCTCCTGCTGGCTATCGCATCTCTCTTGCAACTTGGACGTAGTCACGCTGAGCGCTTGCACCGTGCGACGCAAATTGCCTAGTTCTTCTCTGGTCAACGAGAGCTCAGCTGCCTTCCGCGCGACGTTCACATCAAACCGTAGCAATTCCTGTTTCATCACCGACGCGTTCCTCTGTACGATCTCCTCGAGGCTTCTCAATGATTTGATCAGCCGCGAGTCGATCGATTCGCCGATGCTCGACGTTAAAATCGCGTTTTCGCTAATATTCGATATCTCTCTGATCAGCACGGCTTGTCCTTTCTCCAAATTCTTCATGCGTTTGTTTAAATTCGACCACTCTTGATTCTCGTTTGCGGCGATACGTTTTTCCAGTCTCTGCGAGGTCAAAGAGATTTTCCGTTCGATGCTTCTCAGTCGATCTTCGAGCCGCGTTCGCCGAGCCTCGTTTCGTCTGCCGGCGTATCCGCGTCTTCTCGCCGATCCGTGTCGCAGCATCGAATCATGCTCTGCGTCAGCTGCAACGATCTCACGATCGACTGCTCCTGCTACCGTTCTTCTCGTTGTTCCTCCTCCGGCTCTTCCTCCCCCACCGTCCCTTCCCGTAAGTTCATCTTCCGCCTTCGTTTCTTCTGCTCGTGCCGAATTCACCGAATTCATCCCGCTTCTTGAAGACGAATTGCATCCGAGAGATTTTACCTCGATCTGAACCGAGCTCAACTGAAATTCGATCGTAGATACATTTCTGTTATGTTAAACGCGAACGAAAACGTGTAGAAAATTATATGTAGATGTGGAAGAAAGAATACGCCGAAACGTTGAACAGCTGCGAAATACCGCGCCACGTGAACCGGACAGCGAGTCGCAGGTGTTGCCCGAACGTAACGGGCATAAGAGGATGAGGGAGGCGGAGAGGGGGCGGGGATCCAAGGAAGGCAGATGCGCGACAGAGAGATGGGCAGGTGGATATACGAACGACGAGATGAACGGGACGACGACGATGAAAAGAACAAAATGCAAACTATGGAGAAAGTATGGTATAACTCGGCGTATGGTAGGGATTGAAGGAACGTGCAAAAAAAAAAGTTTCGGCGTTATACCTGACTGGTGATATCAGCGCAGGTGCGAGACAGCAAACCGAAGCGTTCCTTCACCGCAAGGATGTCAACGCGAATCGTTCCGAGGATCGCCTCGATCTTGGCTATTCTGCCGCCGACATTTCGAATTTCTCTATCGACAGCTGCAACGTCTCCTTTCAACAGACTCATCTCGCCCTTCAGCCTAGACCTCTCCGCGAGTTCCTCGCTTGCGTTTCTGCTACGAAGTACTTGGGCAACTTCTCCTTGAAGTTCCGTGACCGCGCTTCCTAGCCATCTAACTCGCAGCCTCTCGTTCTTCGCCTCGTTTCCGTTTCCGCCGCCGCGCATCGAAATAATCTCTTTCCTAACGAACGAACGGACGAACGAACAAACATGATAAAAGATTCCGTGAAACCAACGAAAATAGAAAATTGCAATTCACTTCGTATTACCTCAGCTGCTTGACCTCGTTCTTGAGGACGAACAGCTCCGTATTCTTCTCCATCGCGCGCTTCAAACTTTCTTCGAGAGCGTTGTAATCCTGCTGCCGATGCTCCAACAAAGCGTTCACCTGTTCGCGCAACGATCTTATCGCGTCATCGATACTTTCGTCGCCGCGAATTTCTATCCAAGTAAGGGCCACGAAGAGTATCCATAACGATAACCAGCTTTTCTTATTCATTGTTACACTTTCGTTTCGTCCGTTCGTATAATGGGAAACGATCTACGGCCGCCCATAAAAAGTTTATCCGTTTTTCTACCGGGAATACGGGCACAATTTCGAATCGCGAAATTCGACTGGTTCGAACGAGGCTCGATACGCACTAGAGTCAAACACCGGAAACTCACTGGCCCGTCCGACACAACCTTCCTCTTAGTTTTATATCGCCCTTTCCATAAACCATAAGAGGTTCGGCTCGGGGTAGGAAAGAGCAGGTGTTCGCTCGCCTGCATTGTCCCCTGTCCCCTGCCCCGTGCGCCCTACCTGTATCCCCTTCATCCCATTTACCCTGTTTTATCCCCTCCACAGATTCCATACGCGTTCCACTGCGACCGACATGCATGATACACGATTCACGAATCACGCACCGACCAACGAACAAGAGGAATTCGTAAAGTGAAAGAAAAAATAAATACTTACGCAAGTCTGCATGTCCAGATAATAATTTATTTGAAATATTGTACAATTCATACTTCGGTCCGAATCTCAAGTTTTTTGTTTCCAATGTAATAAACGATCGGTCTCGGGAATGCTTTGATTGCCGCGTGCTTGGCACAAAGTATTTACTTATTCATTAAGTATATTCGTCTCCTAATAAATAACAATGATACAATAATTGGCACGTTACGCGTTTATATCGATGAAACTTGGCCTCGGCGTCGTCGTCTCGTCCATAATAAAATTCTATATACAGAAATAATCAAAATACATCCTTCGATATTTTACGATCCCTGTAATAAGTAACGAGCGACCAACAATGTTAATAAGTAACGAGCGACCAACAATGTTAATAATGACGATTAGAATAGTAAGGTTCTTAAATAGTGATAATTGTAAGTAGTAGTAGTAGTAATAGTAGTAGTAGTAGTAGTAATGATAGTAGTAGTACTAGTAATAATAGTAATAAAATGGCACTCTCTTTCGTTTCCATAGCAGAATGCACTCGCATTCTATCTAATCGCATCACATATTTACATACTATTTATAAGAGAAATCGTTCTTCCCTTCTTCTCACGTCCGATCGTTCATATCCATATCGAAACGATCATCTATTCAGGTTGGCGAAATTGCGAAAAGTCTAATAATATTCGTTTTAAGTTTGCGCCGATCCGTAGGTTCCAGTTGGCGGACGATATAACTTCGGAAACGTCAGTATCTGTAGACTATTGAAAGCGTATTTTCGAATTCCGATGTTCTTCCAGGTGTTCTCTCGTCGGCACCCTTCGCTGGATTCAGGTAAACGAGAGACTAATAAATTAATTCGGTAAGAAATTTATACGGTGGAGAAAAATGATGATCAACCTTCGCATGCAGTCGAGCGCTTTCACGTATTCGTGTTCCGCCAAGTGATACTCGGCGGTCAATATGTTCACTTGCTCCAATGTTATCGACATCGCTGTACGATCCTTGGCACTTTTGCAGCTGGTGAATCTCAAACCGCGCATCCTTCGACAAATCTGCGATGACAGTTGCAAGATTTCGACGTTCTTGCTTACTTTTGCTTGGACGCTAGTCTTTAGATTCACCATTAGTTCCGCCAACGATTGACCGAGCGGAGACCTCGCACCAACTGCTGATCACGCGTCAGTGTGAATACGAGAATTTACGTGTTTAAGAAAAAGTTTCCTCTTCCTAAATATACCAAGGAGACGAGAATTGAGAGAAACACACTTACGTCGAGTCGAGGAAGTTTCCGTTGGCAGATTAAGCTTTTTGAACCGCAAATAATATTCGTTCAGCCTCTCGAAATTATCCAAGTTGCTCTTCTCTTGCGGTTTCGTAGTCCCCAAACTTTCCGCGAGAGAAGCCATTTCGTTGATACCGACATTGAAGAAGACGGGAGTGACGTTGAAGGAGATTGTTTGTCTGGAAGATGGGACCAGAGGCAACAGAGAGTAAATCGCATCCGGTACCGGAAGTATCACTGTTAACGCCGACCGAGATCCGACCACCCTCGGTAGCGGTAGTTGAAATGGTGCGTTTCGATTTTCTTCGAACCTGAAACACGTACACGCGCGTCAATCTAATTGTAAACACTTAATTTTCCCTCACGCGTGTGCAACAATTTCGATACGAAGATTGTAAGCACTGAAAGACATGACACGATTGCTCACTTGCTACTCGGTTGAATACCGCATCTGGTCAATGTAAAAGTGACCGTATGCATATCCTCTACCGCCACGATCATATCTCCCCACATGTCTATCTCGTCTCCGTAATAGCTGAGAAGCCCCTCGAACGAGATCAGAGGACCAAGAGTAGTTAAGATCAACAGAAACATAGGATCGGGCCTTTGGCACCAGAGTTTCGCCATCAGTCCCGTCACCACGCTGGTCAACTGAAAAATCGATGAACGCGTTGACCACGTATTCGACAAATCGGACCAAATATTTTATTGGGCCATCATAGAAAAGAGATAGCCGGAACTTGACGACTTACCGCCTGACTAAAACATACGTCTCGCCTATAGCGAACATTGCAAACGCGTTGAGCCATTTTCGAGTCTTCCTGCACCCTAAACACTGAATGCGTTAATCTAGCGGTTTTCAACAATCCGTCCATCGCTTGCCGCAATTTCTTCATGCTGGGTCTAAGCTCGCTTGTCCAATCGACGATCGAGGCAAAATCGAGGCCCTCAGTAAACTTGTTCCTCTGCCCGGAATTGCTTTTGATCACCCTCGTCATCGAATCGACGGCTTGACACACTGCGATCGAAACCGAGTTACAATTTAGTACGCGTACACGTATTGCTGCACGATTTCTATTATTGAATCGTATCACCTTCTTTGGCTTTAGAGAGAGCCGGCGTCGTCTTCTCCGAACCTGGACTCGATTGCTGTCGAGCGATTATCGCCGCGGAACTCTCTCGACGATAATCAACATTGTCGAGTAGTTTACTCGACTCTTCGTTCTTTGCTTCGTTCTTTGCTTCGTTCTTCGGTTGGATCGTCACTACTTGACCAGTCTTTTTCCGAATGTTCGAAACCGATCCCTTCAAACTTTGCGATCTCCCCACGACGTTTCTGCTCCTGAGTCTGACAGCCGGACTGCTACACCTTCCGCAGAGAAATTTTACCTTCGACACCAAGCACATTACACTCGCTTCGATGTTCAGTTGAGTCAAATCCCAGGGTTCGGGTTCGTCAGTAGGCTTGTAATAATTTGCAGAAGGTGAATTGCACATTTTCTGAGTGTCTAGAAATCTTTTGCACGGATCGATGTCGCTTTTGATTTCATCTTCCTTCTCCTGTACGATTTCGCGATCGTCGGAAGCACTGAAACCGCTATCATTTCCGTTCTCGTTCTCGTTTGTTTTCCTATTTTTGTCTGCGCAGCCTTTCGTTTCGGAATCGATGCTGTCAACGACATCATTCTCGACGTCTGGAAATATGACAAAATTATCCTCGTCATTGGCCGTTACCTCTCCATCGTTACTGTTACCGTTATCCTTGTCCTTATTGTTATCGTTGCTCATAATCGTGTTCGAATCTTTTCTCAATGAAAACGGAGCCACATAACCGTTCCTTTCGCTCTCTTTCATCCAGAGATCTTTTAGCGCACACTCCGGAGTATCAGGCGTAACAAAATCGTCCAAATCCGGGCTCTTCAAATCGAAATTTAACTGTTGCGTAATCCTCTTGAAAGGAGACAGCGACTGGTTTGTTTTAAAATCTAAACTAAGAGAAGTGTCGTTCGCCGTTTCGTGTAGTTTAGCTACTTTAAACTCTTCCAAGAACGTTAACGCCTCTTCTACCAAGCCTGGATCCCAAAGACTGAGCAGTATTCTGGTCTTGGTGATCATATCCTCGCAGATGGGCAGCATTCCGCTGGTCTGTTTCTCCTTGGCGAGTTTCATCAACGCGCGCATCGCGTCAACGACGTCTCGCCGCAATTGTTTTATCGCTTGAATCGCATCGTGCGCCATTGTTATCTTTGACGTCCCTTGATATAATTGATTGGTACGCGTTGGTGATTCCTTCAGTGCTTGTAACAACCTGAAATATATCCTGTCAGTCTGATTTATCGACATATCGCGTAATTATTCTCCTTGCATACCTAATCAGTCCTCCGTTTTTGCTTTTGTGCGAGTGCGCGGTGAACGCCCCAACGGTGATGAAATCGTAAAATCCGCACTTATTCAATGTGTCGTTGTGAACCCACATTCGTTGGAGATGCAAGTTGATAGGCGCGAATTCGAGAGTTCTATCGTTTCTACGCGATGACCGCTTGATGTATGAACCTGCAACCGTTTCGTACCGTTGTTCGTTACCATTGCATCGTTTTGCGCCAGTTCAGCCGACGGTTGGTTACCTTTAAATTGTGACAAGTTCTCTTTGGCTTGCGAGTAAAGATGCAACAGGTGAAGATGGCGGTCCAGCAATTCGACTTGCTTGGTGTGCCAGGGTTCTCTCAGTTCACCCATACCAGCCACTTCCTGAAGTAATTCCTTCTCTTCTTGGATCCAGATTGCACTGCGGGCATGGAACAATTTCTTTTTTAAAGAGAGCCTCTCTCTCCTTGTTGTCACACCGAATTCAGTGAAATTTTACGTACAGTAAGTGCTGCGGGAATTGGAAGCAAAGTTTACTTTCCGCCATGATCTCATGCACGCAGATATCTCCGCCCAAACCGGAGTGAAATCTGAAACGAGGAGGACGACAAACATCCGATAACCGAGACTGGCCGAACCACGACCTTAATCGCGCATCGATACCTGTAAGTTTGTATATACGGATTAGCGAAGAGAAGTTTCAGTTGTCCCTGATGCGGCAACTTGATTTTCGTTCCCAATCTGGGTGGTAATGACTGCGATCGCCTATGCGAGAGGACCTAGACGAGAGAAGCGAACAACTAGCTAGCGAAATCGGAAGAGAAGGCATTGCCGATATTATCGATACCTGTTGATTCCCGCCGGCGGGAGGATCCTTCGACGGAGTGCTCTCGGTGCTGTTCCCTCGGTCCTCCGCTTCCAGATTCCAAACGTTAATCGTTAAAAAACCAACGGTGACCGTTTTCGCTGACTTCAACGGTATCCTCAGCCTGAAGATACAGTTCAATCGTACAAAGTTGGTAAGCCGAGAAGAATCGCGAAACGCAGAACACGAGTTTCGATTCTGTTTGATACAATCACCTGGGTGTATCTTGAACCGCGTTCAACGTTACGATCGCGCTTCCGATTGGCGTCGCCGTCTGGCTCACGCGTTCTCTAACGTCGAACGCGGTTATCCTCGCTTTGGTCTCCGTCGTCAAACCGTCGCTGGCGCGGAAGCTCACGGTTGTCAAGAAACCAGGATTACTGCTTCGCTGTTCGGATGAAATTGGGTATAATTTCATTGAGCTAAAAAGACACAGCGCAGTGCCTGACGCGTCCTTCGTTCTGTTACCTCGACCACCTCGGTTCGCGCGTACTTGATCCAGGTTTTCGAATTCTTCGCCTGCACGTCCACCTCTAAAACCGGGTTGGGTGGTCGACCATGACCATCACAGAGGAGATTGTCGCACGCCAAGGATATCTCGCACATCGGTATCTCGGCAGGGTCTGAAGAGAATGATCGCGCTCACGATACTTGGAAGGTACATCCATTGAGGGGATCGAACGGAAACTTGATGAAAGAACCTGTCGAAATTCCGCGCTGTAGTCGCAGCATTTGGATATCCGTGTCGTGCTTGTGTCCGCTGAACGCCTCTATACGTTGTTGCAACGCCAGCAATTGGCTTCGCATGCATTCGTAGCTGGCAAGTTGCAGAGCTTGCAACCAACTGTCCCTCTCCTCGGCCGAATTCGCACCCAAAGCTTGGAACAAACCTCCTTCGAAAACTGCAACAAAACACGTTGCCCTTTTTCTCTTTATCCTTTTCTTGCCTTGCCTTGCCTTGCTTAGCCTCGTGCAGCTTACAATTATTAGCCTAGCCTGATCTACTCTCGCCTCGCCTCGCCTCGCCTCGCCGCGCCGTCTTTTCCCTTCTTTTGCTTCTCCTCTGTCTTATTATTTACTCTCTACCTATGCACATTCTTGATCCTTACCTATACTGAATCCATAAGGAATCTGATTGCTTGGTTGTTCTACGCGCACGAAACATTGCTCGAGAATTATCACGCCTAGAGGCTCCGACCATTGCTCCCGCGATTTGAAATAAAACAACAGGTTCCCCCGCAATCTGCACCATCTCTCCAAACTTACTATCCAACAAAGAACAACAACAACCTGATGTCATTTTTCAACGTACGTCGATTATCAGAGAAGAATGAAAGAACATCGATGAGCAGGCAACAAATGTCATGTACTTAGCGAATCGCATGCATACAACTACCTACGTACAAAATCCATACTTACGATTAATTTTCTGTTTTAGATTTTGCGTATTACATATGTACGTGCAAACAACTGAAGAATTGGAAAAACGACTTATATAAGCATCCACCAATTTTAAGCGAGCATGTAATTTACCTACGTGTACAAATTTATGAAGTACCCATGAAAAGTTATAAAATTTCATTCAAGGACAAACGCACACAATATTCATTGTACATACATACTGTCTCTCATGCTTTATCGTCTAAAGTCTAATACATATGAATACAACTGCGTACGTACAATACGGAGTTGATAGCGAAAAAGAAAATTTTAGGTAAAGCGTAAGTATCATCGAGGAACGGCGAAAGTAATTTACCGTATGGCACTATATAGGCGAACCCTGTACATGTGATGACAACAACAACTATGTACGCATTCTTTCTCGTAATGAAGGTAAACGGATTCTTTCTATGAATAACGAATCAGTAAGTTTGCACGCCGCCGAAATGCGTTGCCATCGAACAAGCGTGTTAATCGCGATGGAAAGGATTAAACAAGAATAAAGAGATATGAAGGTAGGCGGCACATTAGGTCAGTGCGAGTGGAAAGTTAACAAAAAATAACTCGGCTATACCTTTACTCGTACTGGCTGTAACGCAACTGAAGTCTCGCAGTGTCTTATGTGTTTTTCCCTTTTGACATTTGTTGTCAGATTTTTTACCTGTACCTGAAAATGATATACGTAGCTACAGGTAGCCTTTAGTGCGGCCGTAACGGGCATCGTGCGTTGCACACGTTTGAACGGTATGTTATGGATTCCAGGTGTTTGCGGATTTCATTCTATAGTCGCTCATCGCACATTCGGAGGCATGCCCGACGCGTGCTCAGCGTTACGAGGAAAATATATATTTAATAAGGGAATCGAATGACGTTTGCGAGAGATCTACTAATTAAAAGATAAATATGGCTAAGTATCGGTATATGGTACGAGTCATGTTCAGCCTGTTAAGTAAAATGCAACATACAAACATACATAGGGATGAGGATTTTCAAAGATCAAGGGTCAACCATATACAATTCGAATAAGAAAAACATGCTTCGATCGGAATAGCGAAATACGATACGTAATAAGTACAAATGCAAGTACGCTAGTACGCTATATAGATCTTTTGGTCGTTCGCGCGATCATCGTTTCTAACAATAAGATATACATATCTGGGTAGATCGTAGGGTTGAATTTAATCACTCACTCTCGGTTCTACGAAAGAATCCTTCTTGTCGTTCGCGTACATACAATATACCCTCTTTCTCGAATTTCTGCGAAGGTTGTGTAGCCAGAGTCAACAGTTCCTGCTTGTTGAATCGCATCGCGAATGACAACCGTCCACGAGAACACCCACGTTGTCCGTGATCAAGTATTCTTCTTCGTTCTTATCTGTCAAACAGAATAGGTTGATCGAGTTAACAGCGATCCGTATCGCCGCATCTCCTCTCTGTCTATTCTCGTATCCGACGTACGTCCTATGTGTCAATTGGATCGGTAGGAAATAGATCGAGAACGAGCAAAACGAACGAAAAGAAATTTAAACGAGATTGATGCGATCTCGGTCAAATACGCCAAACATTCAGACTTTCTAACCTATGCTCCGTATTCCCTTTCTTTCGTACGCATACTCGCGATACTTGCGACTGTTCGCGATTCGCGATCATGATTTTTTAATCCCGTTCCTCGTTCTCGCATTTCCATTAAAGATCTCCTTCAAAATCATTTAGTGTCAATCATCTCGCTCTAAACTCTAAATAGTCTAAATCATTCCATCGCCGCATTGGATTCTCGTTTGACGTACACATTCTATCTCATCTTCGGTATCAGACATTTTTTAAACGTTAGAAGATCGCGACTACCGCATTTTTCGAGCAATAAACATCTAATGATAACGATAAAGATACAGAAAGAAAAGAGGATCGACGCTAAGTTAAATACAAATAGAAAATATGGTCGGTGTACATGCGTGTGTATGTGTATCCCACGTCTAGACGTACCGCACTTTGACGATAAAAGCATTCTTCGATGTCCTTTCAGAAGCTACCGCTATTAGTTCCAAAACGCTTCGTTTTCTCATGGTAATTCGCCTCGTCGAACGCATGTCGAGTTCCCGCCGTCGATCACTACCGAAACAGCTAAGGTTACACTAATCCGCTAATCAAACTTACGCATTACGACACTTTCGTGCATATTCATTTGTACGTAGCATGACAAAATACCTACTTATGCACGTAACGATAAAAGATACATGCTCGCGGTTAAGTATTTGTGTTACATGCACGATGCTACATCGATAGACTAGATTAAGGTAACAAATGTCGAGGGAACAGAAACTAAAACGTGCACTGTGTCTCGTATCGTACAACTAGCAATACCGATTATCGGAATGATGGAGCAAATGACCGCGGACATCACTCTCGCACACTACGTACACTACTGTCACTGTCACTGTCACCAGTCACCAAGGCGCCCAGACCCAGTCATCACTAGTGATGTGGTGATAGTGATGAATGGTGACGTTGGTGATCACCTACACAGGCTACACATGGACCGTCGCTCTGTCGCTTTCTTGTACTTATTTTCTCTTGCCTTGCTCGCTTCCGTTTATACTACTCTACTGTCTGACTCTTAGAGGTCTGACTAAAACTAGGACTAGACTACTAGATTTAGAGGTGCTATACACAATACACACAGTCTCCTTCAATGATTTCTCGCACGATCGATGTTTTGTCTAATTTCAATAATACACAGTATATATACACTATCAAATGCATATTTGTGCATCACACATTTACGTATTATAAATTTGATAAGTAACAAGTAATACACATTTATAATTCACAATAATACACCTATAATACTAGTAATCGTATGTGGGATACATAACGTGAAGTTAGCTCCGACAATATTTTTGAAGTAGATTGTACATATGTGATTACGATATAATCTGGTGAACCGGTGTACCAAACGATTATAAACAACATGGAATCATTCCTATCCGCATCGAAGACAGCCTTGGTATACTATTTCATTCCAATTTTCGGGACCGGAATTGAACGTTCGCGATATACGTTCATTTTCCGACAATTTCAATGCTCCATGTATCGTAACCTTTTTTATTCTTATCCATACAAGTAGTTTGCATTTACATGCATGCGTGTAAGTAAATACACGCGTAGATCACTCGAAGAAGTCGTCGTATAAAAAATAAACGTAATCGCGTCATACGTATGCATTCGAAAGAATAATTTAATTTTAATTTGCACGTTATTTCAGTCGAATTTATCCGCTTATAAAAGAGTCCGCGTCGTTATGGGTAACGAAACTTGCGATTTAGATTCTGCTGTGTCGACCTTAGTTCAAGCACTTTCTGAATACTTGGACGGAGTTAAAAACAAAAGTACGGATCTCGCGGTGATTCCGATAATGAACATACGCGAAAGAGAGTATCGCATAAAGACGGAAGTAACGTTTTTCTTAAAGCTACACAATATAACTTTCGACATGTTAACGTTTCGGTAAGTCTATCTCCGACGATGAAACGCGCCGCGTCGTTCAATACGCGCTACTACAATGCTAAATAGATAAAAGATAACATTGCGATATGTAGAGATCAAATAGATCTGACAAGTCTACAAAATAACGAGGACACCGAATTAGAATTGGTACTCGTGGACCATCACAGTCTTCCGGACAAAGACGCCCATCTGGCAAAGTCCGTGGTAAAAGTAATCGATCATAGACCAAGGGATGAACGATGGCCTTGGCCTGGCATAGAGGTTCGCATACAGGGTGTGGGTAGCTGCGCGACTTTGATCGCGCGAGATTTATTCGACAAGCATCCGGAAGCGATAGACTCGCAAGTTTCGAGTCTTTTGCGAGGCAAGTAAACCAAATGGTAATTCTCTTCCGGGTCATGGATCCATATAGCCGAACTGACCTTGAAACACAGGACCCATCGTGATCGACACGTGCAATTTCTCGAAAGAAGCGGATCGTGCCACTTCCGACGACGTAAAAATCATCGAACAGCTGGAAAAAATCGACGACCGATCCGTTTCCGATAGGAACCAAGTGTTTAACGCTATCGTCGAGGCGAAAGCCGATGTTAGCGAATTGACTGCCGACGATCTCTTGATCAGAGATTTGAAAGTAACGAATCGTGTACCAATCGCCGGATTACCTATGTTGGTACAAGTACGCACATCCACATTTATGCTTTTCACAACATTTACGCTTCTTCAAACGTAACGAAACGATTCCTGGAGCATTGTACATTTTCGCAGGACTTTCTCGATCTACCAGATAGTTTGAACAGTCTCGAGAGATTTACCGAAAATGGAAACAGCACGGTCGCCGTTGTGATAGGATTGATACTGTTTTCTGGAACTCTGTCGCGAGACATCGCTGTCTTTTCTTTGACTACCGATCCACTGGGAGAGAAGGTATCGAAGGCTCGCACGCAACAGTCCTATATATGTAAGCCAATGCTTCTCGCGGTTTTGATCGTAACGATTTTCTTCCCGCCGACAGATAATAGAAGCTCTGACGACGTCCACGCAGCCGTGTCTCGAGTTAACTTTGGCCAGAACAATCCGAAATGAGAGCGGAAAGTATAGTCTGCATTTGTACACGCAAGGAAATTTACGTGCGACGAGAAAACAAATTTTACCAATAATTCGAAACGTTGTCTCTACGGAATGTCGCTGCTGAGAAACGGTACACGACCGATAGGATTTTCCTCCTTTTTCCTTTGTCTTACAAAACCAGTTTTAATAGAATAAAACGTAAATTTGATAAATGTTATACTCTTGATTCGTACATTATGCTTTGTCCCTCCGTTCTCTTGCCTACTGGAATAAATGCATGCATGCGACGAGACGCGTGTAGCGTACGATCGTGTGCATCTATGAACATTACTCCCCTGCAACCCCTATTGCACCCCCACTCTGCTTCCTACCTTCGCGAACCTCGGAGCAAGCTTACGGCTACCGTACTACCTACACGGATGCTGATTGCGAGCCGAAGCTCTACGGAATTCGCACCTCGTTAAACCGTGTCTCGCAAACACGAGCGAGTTTCGAAACGAAAGGAGAAGCGAACGCTTAATACTCGTTCGTCTACTGCGTCCTACGTACAGTGCAAGTCAGATTAATCATTGATGTCGGAATAATTAAAATTGCTTTCGCTTGTTCTTTCGTGCCTCGAAACGTTGCATTTACATTATTATAAAACGGAAAGTGAGATCGCGATTGATTTGCCGTGATTTGGTTCGATTTGTGCGAATATGTTGCTGTGTCCGAGAATATCCGTTTTCGATGCGATAATGCGCGAGATGAGTGGCAAGTGGCAACGTTAGCAGGTAAGAATTTTTAATTTCGGTGCAATGTACGTATGCACAAACGAGAAGACTGGATGCTTGGACAAGCGATGGAACAAGCAGATGCGGAAAAAGTAAATGTACGAAATTACGAGAGACACGACGCACATGTTCCATGCTCGAAGATCGATGTAACTTGGGTAAGTATACAGATTTCTTCTCGAGGATAGGAGGAGACTCGCTAGCCGCTGATTTAACGATAAGCAAAGCACAATATTCAATTAAGATAAAATACTGGCTACGTACGTGTTCCTATCCGATTTTGACGACACGCAATTTCATTCTCGCGTATTCTAAAGACAAAGAATCCCACGAGAAAACGAATCGCCGATGATATCTGTAATCGAATCGAATTATTGTTCATTTCGAGCGAATCGCGTTGGATGATTGATTCTGTTCCCCATCCGTGTAATTTAAGAATAGGCATGGATACGAGTTACCGTTCGCTTTGTCGGTAGAAGAAAGAGAGAAACGTTATCGTATTGATCGAGCTTTACTTGTTGCACGCATATCCGTTCGCAGCCACACGCGCATCTCTGCGTTAGCCGTTCGCCCCGTTTGTCTCCGTTTTCGAATCTAATTAATGGACAAAGCAAAAGTCCAAGCCACCTGTACACGCATCGATCGCTTTTTCACAAGTGTCGCGTGGACGAAATGATGCTTACACTTTTCTTGGTCCGATGGGGTGGGATCAACTCGCGAACTCTTATTCTCGGATGAAGGACCGGATCTATTAGTATGCTTACGCGTGACGCGTGTCTATGTTTGTGCAACGAATCGAAATTTTCAGGCATCAACCAAACGATGTTAGAAAAGTGCTGGAGCCTATGCTATGATGCGCTGTAGAAGAGTCGAGAAAAATACGAGAAGCGAATATGGAGATGCGATACGCGTGTGTAACAATAATTTTGTTATTGTCGGTGGTTTTGGCGTCGATCGGGAACGGAAGCGGAAGCGAGAACGCGAACGCGAGCGTAAGCGGCAACGAAGATTCGGTCGAGAACGTGTTGTTCGATAAGGGTAAGGATGAAGTATGGATTTAAAAACGGATTTCCTCGCGTATACGTATTATTATTTTGTCGTAACGAATATCCGCAGGTCGATGCATTCTTCCGCTTGGTATGGAGGAAGGAAAGATTCCGGATAACGCGATCACCGCCTCCTCCAGCTACGAGAGTAAGTCGGTCGGTCCGCAGAACGCGAGGTGAGTCATACGTCGTCGTCCTCGTGCAACACAAAACCGGCGCAAACGGGAAAGTTAACGTAAGAAAGGGTTCTCAGAATACGACAGGAGAAGAACGGTGGTGCCTGGTGCCCGAAAGCGCAAATAAGCAGCGCGATACGCGAGTACCTCGAAGTGGATCTGACGAGGGATCATCTGATAGCGTGGACCGAGACTCAAGGACGATTCGGGAACGGGCAGGGTCAAGAATACGCGGAGGCATTTTTTCTCGAGTATTGGCGCGATGCAAAGTGGCACCAGTACAAAAACTTGAGGGGTGAAAAAGTTTGTGTCCGGTGACGATAGATAAGTATAGGTGCGAGCAAAAAGAGACACGTCCCCTTGTTTCAGGTGCTGCGTGGCAATAGCAACACCTATTTGGTGGAGAAGCAAAAGCTGGACTTGCCGTTCGTCGCGAGCAGAGTCCGATTCGTACCGTACAGCCAACATCCACGGACGGTTTGCATGCGAGTGGAAATTTATGGATGCATATGGGATCGTAAGTAGAATCGCGACGATAGATCGGATCGGGTTTGTGATTTGCGGTATGTCGATAATCGGATTTCTCGTCATCGCACAGAATACGTGACAAGCTACAGCGTGGACAAAGCATCGAGCCCTGGCCCGGAGGGTGCGGACGTTCAGGATTCGTCGTACGACGGCGTCGAGGATATCGATTCTGTTCTTGCGAACGGTCTCGGTCAATTGACGGACGGAATATTGGGTCGAGTATCCGAGATACTCTCGGAGACTACTTCGGAGAAGAGCGATCGCCGTCGCGGCACTAATTGGGTCGGCTGGTCCGAACGCGCGACGGTCCAGATCCTATTCAAATTTCGAGAGCTACGACGATTCGAAAATTGTTCCGTACACGTCGCTCGTATTCCGCGACTGGAAGTCGAGGTTCGTTTCCTCGAATACCGAATTGTTCCCCTAAGTTAAACAAATCTAATAAAAGTTTAAAATCGTTGCTTCGCAGACGTTCTCAACGTTACGAATCTCGTTTTCCGTTGACGACAGCGAGAACCAACCAGGATCGGAATCAAAAGCGGTTCAATCCGAGTTCTCTCCTCCATCTACGATCGACGCCGATTCGGCTACAGCGATGTCGATTTCGATCCCTCTGCACGGTAAGCTCGGACGATCCGTGAAACTGGAATTCATTCCCGCCGCGAAATGGTTGCTTCTCAGCGAGATAACTTTCTATACGGGTAAGGATTAACAGTAAACAGTCAGGAAACCAGACAGGTGGAAAGGATTACGAATACGTTCCATGTACAGGCGAGGGAAATCGGTTACGGAATGACACAGATGATTCGGTGGTCTATGCGGATCGAGATGAAAACGAATGGAGATCAAAGTCGATGGGCTCTTTCGACTCGATCGTTGATGGTTTCAATGGGACGGAAATGTACGAGACTCGTGAAATTCGGAACTCGACGCCGTCGCAACCGCCGTCGCCCGACGCCTTTCCCGTTGGCAGCTCACAGACTTACATCGGCCTCGTCAGCGGTTTACTCACCGTTTTGGCCTTCTTTTTCACCTGTCTAGTATTCCTGTTGAAACAGAGGGGTCGCAATAAAATAGCTTTGCTGCAAAAGCATACGGCGTTACTTTGCGATACGTCCACTTCTGGTATCGCAATATCATCGAAACCGAACTCGGTTAAACTTTCCGATTCGATCGTAAATGGATTGACGCTGATTCGCAAACCCATCGCTGTCGCCGTTTTCGATCGGTCACCGGCAAATAGACCCAACGAGATTCCAAGTGCTGGAACGGCGATCATCGCCGATCCCCCTGTCGTCCAAGATGTACCTCGTCGTTCATCCGGTCCGTACGAAGAGAACACCTACGACGATCCATTCTCTCGACCAAGTAACCCGTCGACTGTTTGCGTTCGTACACCGGACCCGCGTCCTGGTGAGTTTTCTATGAAAAAATCTGTGTCTCCCTTAAACGCGTAAGTATACACAATATGTCGAGTTTTTTCGCAGCTCTGAAATACAATTTCGCGACACCATACTCGACGTCGAAGAAAGCGTTTCAACCTCGATCGAGGGTGGCAGCGACGACGATACCGGCGACGACTACGAAGAATCAGAAAATTCGCGCGGAAGGATATTATGCGGCGACGGATATTTTGACGGTGAGATAACGAAGCGAAGCGGGGATGAGTGAAAATTTAGAGGATTGAAACGATTTCATTATCGTAGATCAAAACGAGAGAATCTCAGTCGAGCTCGAGCCCGTTTACAACTCTTTACGTTCGGGACAAAGCTGCACGTTTACCCCGTACCACGGATTCGTGCAACGTTCAACGGGTTTCCAGGCACAGGCTAAGAATTTTGGATAAGCTCGGAGAAGGAAATTTCGGCTTGGTAAGTACGTGAGACACGCGTTCTAACTTCTAACGCGCGCACATCTAATTAAGTATACTTACCACCTATGGTAGATACACTTGTGCGAGGCAAAGGGAATCGTGGATCCGGAAATGGGTACGATCCAAAATCGACGGACCGTGCTCGTCAGATCTCTTTGGCGGGGCGTCGTGGATTCCTTGAGGTACGTAATAGTTCGCTCGCAAATGTTCCTACAAAACGAGAAACCAACCGTATTGTCGTTTAGGTTCGACTTTACGAAAGACATGCATGCCTTGTCGACGCTCCGAAATCGAAACGTTGCAAAAATGATGGCTCTCGTGGAAGAAGAACCTTTCGGAGCTATCTTCGAGTACGGCCAATTCGGAGATCTTCCTAACTTCTTGGAGAACCCAAAGATCGGAATGTCAAAAGCAGAAGGAAAGGAAATTAGGTAATTTATAGTAAAGAACCAGGATTGAGATTTAAGCGGACACTTACTCGTTTCACTCGACGCGCTCGCACCGATCCCGATCATTCGAACGTTTACGTTGCGTGTTTCAGCTTCAGCCTGCGCTTGAGTTTCATCATTCAAATCGCATCCGGTATGAGGTATCTGGAGTCTATGAACGTGGCGCACTGTGACTTGGCGGCCAGGTAAGATAATTTTAAAAGGGACTACACGCGTATACGGCAATAAAAAGATGAAGCATACTTTTGCACGGTTCGTTTCAGAAATTGCATCGTCGATCGTAATTTGACGATAAAGGTGTCGGATCATGCCACGTACTGTACCAAATACGATCATCATTACCTGATTGACGGACAAAACGTGAAGATCCCTCTTCGTTGGATGGCCTGGGAAGCTGCCCTATTGGTATACGCAATGGGACATTATATACGTTGTTTATACGTTGTACACAATTGTAAGTAACTCGATTATTTTCCTTTGTTTTCTCTTCAGGGCACGCGCAGTTGTCGAACGGATATTTGGTCGTTCGGCGTTACGGTTTGGGAAATCTTTCGAAATTGCGCGGAAATACCGTACGCCGATTTAACAGAAACACAAGTCATGGAGAATCACGGTCGCTGGTTTCGAGGCGATGACGGACCACGAATTCTTGAGCGACCCGATATATGTCCGGAGCACCTCTACAGCGCGATAACCAAGTGTTGGAGTAAACGAGCCGAAGACAGACCCAGCTTCGAAGAGATCTACCTGTATCTCGAGAAACTAAGTCACGACCTCGACTAAACTTTCGAGCCACGTGGACCAATTCGGTTACGATCAGCCAGAAACTGTTCTTTACGGAAACTTCATCCCTAATTCCTCTGTCTTCTCTTCTTCCGCTTCCCAGTTTCTTTTCCTTTTTTTGCACCGCTTCGGTCTATACAATCTATCTTTCTTCGCAGGATTATTTCTTCTCCTTTTCCCTTGGTCCAGGGAAGAAAGAAAAGCGTTCGAATCGCTTTGGTCACTAACTTTTAATGCTCAATTAGTCTTATATGTATGCTATCGATATGCACTCACGGAACGAAACGATATTCTCATCTTTTTAGAAATGACATCGAGGCACTGTATACTGTATAAAGCGTGGCAATCGATGCCATGATCGCTCGGCTTCGACGTCCTTGCGAACAGGTATCGTCGTTCCGATCGCGTTGATTCAGGTATCAAATACCTCCGAGAAGTATTTATTTTTAACGTTCGATAAAATTAAGATTAAGATATTGCTTAATCCGCTGTTCCGCGGACGCGATAAACGAGACAAAACGAGAGGAAGAATGGGAAACGTATACTGTTTTTGTGAACAGCGATTTCTCTCTCGCGTCTCGTTAACCGAACATATGTACTGGACATACGTACAACTTATACCAAAAGGGGACAATCAATTTTTCAAATATGGTTTTACGCGACGCACGCGGTCATCGAACACTATGTACACGTACTCAGCTAACGTATGCAAGTACGATGCGTAAAACCGAGAACGTCGTGGCGACGCGCTCGTTCCAGCTAGGCTAGGATATAATATTCGGATTGCGTACCGCGTACGCACATTTTTTTACACTCGCGATTACGATCAGTCTATCGACATTTGTAACGATACAAAATCATGCGTATCTCATTAAAAGTTATATTCTTCATATTTCGAAAACGTTAAGATAAATAAAAGTTGTTACGCATTATCCTACGAAAACGCTACGTAAACGTATATCGCACATGTACGTAAGCCGACAGATACGGTGGGCAGAAAAGAAAATTGCGTCAACTCGGTCGAGCATCTGGCGATATCGGCACCAAGGGAACGATGTTCATCTCTCGATGAAATTCGTCGAGGGGCTGTTCCCAGCGTTCCTCGAAATAGACTCCCAACAGAAATTTAGCTCGAATTCCCGTGCTAATGGCCCATGGAAGATGATGCTCGAGATACAATTTCCTCTGTCTGAAAGGATTCACAGCGAAAGAATGATCCACGGAACTAAGTACGCGTCCACGTAGCTACGTGGAGAGATATGTACGTCCATGTAGAGATGTTCGCATGTTTCGCGATCGACGTCGATCGTTTACCTCGGCCGCAATCTGTACGCTCCAAATATCGCCCCGCTGGAACACATCGGTAAACGCAACTGTAATGCTTCTATCCATTTGACGGATACTTCGCCGAGCATCGTGGTCGGCATCAGAAGCAGTGCGTGAAAGATATCATGTGTTTCTCGATATCGTTGCATCACGTAGGCCAATTCGGTGTCTCGGACGAATCTGACCGCGGGTCTAGAATCGGGGGACACGTTCTGCAACAGAACCGAATGCGTACCTTTGCGCACCCTCGTCGAAAAACGGACAACAAAAACGAGGCGAACACGACGAAAGACGCAATCAAATCTGCTTACGTTCACGTCCAAGAATTCGCGATAAATCCTGCCAAGGGTTCCCACCGGTAATCGTTTCAACTCGTCAAGCGAGACCACCGAACTGTTGATCCGTGGCTTCTCTTCGAGGATACGTCGTCCCTCGGACGTCGCGAGCATTTGTCGATGACAATAGGCAAGAGCTTTGTCTCCGGTCGTTTCTGCCAAGCACGCGATCATGTCACCGCGGAAAGGATCGGTGAACGATATAGCCGCTGCACCGGCTGCCAAAATCGCGCGTTGTACCGGTGACAGAGGCACGCGTACTTTCTCGTACACCGTCTCAAACGACGGCGACGACGTGGAGGCCGCTGTTCTTGCCGCTCTTCTCATCGCGTTGCTGGAAAACCAACGAATCGGCCAGTCTGAAACTAATCCCGAGGATAATGATGCTCTATCGTTCGCTCTCTGGAGGACAAATTAAATTGATTTAACTATATTTTATTTACGTATACACTATACACGTAAGAATATACGTCGCTGGCACTTTTGAGGGATTCGTAGAATACGTGTTACATACATATGTACAAGTCCTGTTTCACACTTTTGACACATGCTACGTTTGCATATCATGTGCGTACACGTATAAAAACACTCCCGTTCCGTCTATTCCTAATCTTATTTCTAGTTACATCCTTATCCAGCAAGGATGGTCCTTCGTCGCTTTGGTTCTGATGCGTCTCGTTGTTAAATTGTATTTACATTTATCTATTACAAATTAATTAGTTTAATCATATTCTCGTCCCTCCGATAGCGATCCACCCATGAATTGACTTCAGCTATCTTTTCGTTGATAGGATAGGTAAGACACAAAAGATAGGAGAATAGATTCGAGACAAGCAAGTGTCGCATACGAAAAAGCATGGGTGGATGAAAGAACGTTCAGACAGAATGAGAGGGAGGAGGGCCGATACGAATCATACGGGTTGTATCGTACGATCGTCGGAAAGCGAAGAATACTTGGGTATCATGGACGAAGGTTTCCTTCGGAACGTGACCCACGTATAAACCAAACTACCAACGACACTCAGATTCAGTCCTGTAAAATTTAGCCAATCGAAGATATAGTCGCCACCGATGATCATCCCGAGGTAGGTGACGCATATATTTTTCAGACATCCAATGATGGTAGTGGTTAACGCGGAGTTGTAAAGCGTGCAGAGGATCATGCTGTAGGAGAGGGCGAAACCCATCACGCACGAAAGCCCAAACTGTACGATGAAGAAAACGTTGGTCCAATGCGGGAAGTTCATAACGGAACGCGCGTCTCCTGTCCAGCAAGCGACGGCGATCGCTGGCAGAACCATAAACAACGAGTTATAGTACATCAGTCCGTATTTTCCTAGCTCTTTCGAGTCCAGCTTCTTCTTCATGTAGACACCGTTCGCAGCCGTGAACAGATCGTTCAATAGAATGAACACGTATCCCTCGAGATTGAAAGCAAGATCGTTCAATGCCGCGACCACGGCTCCGAGGATCATTGTGTAGACGCTCAGTTGAACGGAGACGCGCGCCTTAGCACCCAGGATATAGTACTCGGCAATCATCGTCATCAAGATACTGAATCGCCTGAGGGCGGTGAACATCGGGAGGCTGAGCTGCTTCGTACCGCCCAGACCAAAGATCATGTTCCCGAGATAAATGATCGGTAATGGCCAGATCTTTAAGCAGATTCCTGCCTCTAAGTTAGGAAAATCGATGTAGCGCAATTTTTTTGCTGCAAAGAGCAACACGATGGTAGCCAACATCTGTCCTATGCCGAGGACTTGAAACGATGGGAACCCAAATGAAGTCAACACCGTTTTATTTACTACCGTGATCAGAAAAGAAGACAATCCGTAAAACAAGGCGGTACCGGCTCGTGCGAACATCGCGTTGTCATCGTGTATCGTCATATTAACTTGAATCAATTTACGATGCTTCTTTTCTAGTTCTTTCTGCTCTCTTGCCACGCGTCTCCGTTCCTTTCAACAGTTGCTTTGCAAATTTCGTTCACTCGATTTATGTATCAAATTTCTCATTGTAGACGAAACGTACAATGGTGTAACCTTGTCATTCCTTTTCCTCTGCTCTAAACGATTCCAAGTGTTTCCTGCTCCTTGTACTTCCCGTATTCCCGTTCCTATCCCGTCGTCGTCGTCGTCGTCGATCTCGATTTTGATCTTGATCACAGCCGAAAATTATCAACGATAACCTCCGTTTTTTGTGTACGTATTCTACTTTCGTATCGTTCACTGCCCGCTATTGCCGCGACTGTTGTTTTTTCTCGTTCGCATCTTCGCCGTACTGGCACGTAAGCATGTACACGTGTACCGTTTATTTCGACTTAATGCGAGACCAATGCCTCGGCATTCAGCGGCAGTCGATATAGCCTTATCGTTTCATTCGCCTCCGCTTCCGTTTCTTCTTCTTTTTCTCTTCTAACCCATTATCTTTATTATTCATCAATTTCCCCGGGACGCTAATCACCTTCGTCCATAAACCAATCGTGCGTTATCTAAATCATTCAAATTTCAAGGTTATTAATGTTTGTTAAACGAGGTAACGTTCAATAATTCTATGCCTTTACCGCGTCTAATTGTTTATCACTCGTTTATTCGATGTTTGATGCTCACTTTATAAACTTTCGTATAGAAATACGTAGCTATTAAATCGAATCTCTTTCATTCTTGTTCATGATCACCAAACCTGTGTTCGAGACTATCTAACACTCAACACATATATACATGTATAAGTATGTATTTTATACATACACGAATAAGTATGTAACGTAACACGTAACATCGTTTACACTCCTCCGATACGATTCATTTCCAACAATGAACAATTCACAAAAAGATTTCTAGTAACACAAAGGCATAATATGTATGTACAACAAATATGAATATAAAATATAGCAAGCACAAGTGATACAAATTTTTCTGACATTTATAAATGTGTTATACATTTTGTGGACTCCTAAAACAGTTTCGTGTTGTGATTGATTATATCTGAAATATTTGCGGTCTTTTCAAGAAAATGTAAATGTGAAGGGTGATAAAACAATCTGTCAATCAAACAGAAATGTTTACAAATGCATTGAATGAATTATAAATGGATAAAATACTTCAATAAGCAATATTAATGGTGTGAAGTCAAAGAGGTTACGTGGGTATGTGAGAAAGATTTTGTATAATTATATAATAAAAAAGAGTTACAGAACTAAATCAAGTCGTATTTTCCATGGAGGGTAAACGTTTGAAGTGGTATTGCTATTTTATTTGATTTTATTCTTAA